TAAAACAAGCAGAAAGAAGCTTAATTTAATAGAAGGAAGTTGGGAGAGCATATTTTTTTTGCAGATTTAGACTGAAAAGAGTATAAACGATTGCAAAAAAATGTGGAATTAGCTGATAAAGATGAAATTAGCATTAAAAACAGCTAAAAGCTAGCTTAAACAGTAGAAACGTGCAGGAATAAGCTATTAAGACGAGCTCTCTGCGGCCTCAGCAGTAATGTGCAGGTATGGAACGCACCTGGAGACAAACTTTATTCAGTAAGAAAAATGCAACACATTCAAAGCAAAGTGTCTGGGTTGAGTTTAATTTGCAGATTTTAATGAACTATCTTCTCATATTGTTACTTTAATGCAACCAAATGTTCTTTTTTTTTTTACTGTTAAAATGTCACTAAAATCATTAAACTCATAAAAAATGTTTTTTTATGTCTGTTACTTCAAGGAGCTCTGTGGCAGCTGTTCAACAAAGCGCTCCAGTAGGTGGCGTCACAGACAAACAGGACATTTGATGGTTTCTTGACAGCCTGTTCTAAAATTATTACATTATCAAATATCTCTGACATTATTGTAAATTATAAAATCAGGGATTAAATATATATTGTAAAAAAAAAAATCATAAGCATTTTTCACGAAAGTGATTTCCTTTGGTGTGTTAGTCTGTCTTTTAGCAAAATATCTCATGAACGAGAGGGCATGTTTCAATGAGACTCTCAGAAAATAATCATTGGATGCACATTTAAAACTGTTCAGATTTTGGAGTTAATCTGATTAAATATGGCTGCCGCAGCTAAGGGACGGTAGCAAACAGAATAAATGCCTTTAACGCTGTCAATTTAAGAGCTAATCAGCTAAAAGTTCGTTTGACAGTAGCTGAGAGTGATTCCCAACTTATATCCAAAGCACTAACAGGTTGCACAAGATTCTCATTTAAAACTTTGGAATTAACTTTTGACGTCAACTCTTGTCTGTTAGCAAAATATCTAATAAACTAATAAACAGATGTGAATGAAAGTTTGAGAAATAACTTATTGGGTGTATATTTACAACCGATTAACTTGTGGAGTCAAACAGATTTAAGATGGCCGCCATAGCTAATCAGCTTTAGAAAATGAAAAAAAGTGGCTATATTGCAGTCGGTTTTACAGATGCTGAGCTAAATATTGGTGTAGTGGTGGCACATCTGTAAACCAGTTGTGCAAAATGTTTTTTTTTAAGATTTGATCAAAAAGGAAACCCACTTATTCCTCAACAAACGATGATCATAGTTTAAAGTAATATGTATTATTTTAAGAAATACCCGTCCTTTTATTTGCTTCTAGTTTAGATTTTTCTTGATCTTATCGTTTTAGTCATCTATTTTTAATCCGTTGTGTTTGTTTCCGTCTATGTATTTTCATTTAAAACTATTTGTTTTTCCATTCTCCATCCTGTTTGGATCAGTTATCACCAAAGCCATTGATCATCAGAGCTATTAGTTTTTATGGCTCTGAGTTATGGGCATTTTCGAAAGTCGCTCGCTCTTGTTGGCACATACGAAATAAAAAAATCCTTCTTTCTAGAAATGAAATTCCTTTCTCGGGAACACCTTCGCAATTACAGAGCGTTCCCGCCCACTTACGTGTAAACTGCATCCAAGTGGTGATCCAAACACTCCCGCCACATCTGAGTGTACCGGAACGGCGGTCACGCTCTGCATCTCGCTGCCGCAGCCTCGGCGAACATGCTGAAACCACAGCGTTTCCTGTGTTAAAACATATTTTTACTGCAGTGGAGCTGGTGCAGTTCAGCAAGCAGAACAAACATTCACATCGTCTAAACTAGCGCATTTTCCTCTTTACAGCCGTATTAGCAGTTCACAAAGTACTTTTTGTAAAGCGCTGCATCCAATTCTGGTGGATCGCTGCAAAATCAGCAGCAGTAATTCCCTCACATTAGTGCAGCTCGGCCCGATTAGTAGCGGAGGCAGATGTTGCATAGTTGCGGAGGTGACACATGCCACGGGCAAGAACCGAACGAATTCCATCCTCGAGCCTCGGTTTGATTTAAGAAGGAGAACTGTTTCAACTCGTCTTTTGATGGAGCGGAAAACTCCTGCAGAGGCACCGAGTCGGGCCTTTCACAAAAGCTTTAAAATCTCAGGAATGTTGTTTCCACATAGGTAATGTGATATTACTGTACCGTGTACATCACTGTAGCTCCACATGCATGAGTCATTAGTTTATGAGAAAGTACGCACACACCTGGACTCAGACATTTTAGCAGAAAGAACTGGGAGCAATGCATCATACAACCAGACACATACGGGGTATGTACCTGGTAATTATCCGGTAAATACCTGGCACTTACTGGTTACTTACAATACAGACAGGGTGCATAGTATACTTTGTGCCAGACATATATTGTTCTAGAATTGCGCCGCTAATGGTGGCTGCATGTTAGAGTAGCTCTGTTACTTTCATTCGAAGATGTTGCTTTTGAAAACTAATTCCTCTTTTTTCAGGATGTAAATCACTTTTTTTTTTTTTTTTTTTATGATTACTTCCTCTGATAGATGCTGTGCAGCTTGAAGGATTTTTACTGAAAATATTTTTGCTTTTGGACATTTGTTATGATGTGCAACCATGACAAGGTAGTTTTTACAATTAACAGAAGCTGATTAACATCTCAAAAGCTCAAATAATGCCTCAGCTACAGCCCCAAATCACAAATGAGATAAAAAAGGAGGTGCCATGGATGCATCCCCGTCTACCTGGCGAAGGTGCTTGAGTACCTAACCGCCAAGATCCTGGAGATGGTGGGAAACATGGCTCGTGACTACAAGAAGACCAGGATCATCCCCTGACACCTGCAGCTGGCTGTCCGCAATGACGAGAAGCTCAATAAGCTGCTGGGAGGAGTGACCATCGCTCAGTGAGGAGTTCTGCCCAAGATTCAGCTGGTCCTGCTGCCCAAGAAGACCGAGAAATCCACCAAGACCAAGTAGACAGATCAACATCTGCAACCAGTTTCTTCAGATCTGCTCTAAGATGGGCCGCTACAAGAGATCCTTCCTGCCCACATCCATCAGCATCTATAACAACTCTAATGAAACCAGAATGATGAGCTACAACATTTAATTTCCCTTTGGGATTAATAAAGGATTTTTTAAATTTAATTTAATTGAATACTGGGCTGCATTATACATTTTACCAGTGATTTCTATTTAAATGTAATATTACCAACTTCTGAGTTGAAATATGTGTACATATCAGGTATTTACTTAAGTACCAGGTCGTAACAAATGTACCTAGTAGGTACCAAGTATATAGATCAAACATGCCTGATAATTGCTGGGTATAGTATTAGGTATGTATCTGGTACTGACAGAGTACAAAATCGGTACATACCAACAGGTACCATGTATGTACCTAGAAGTTACAGGGTACGTACCAAGTACTTATTGGGGACATACCAGGTACTTCTCTGGTACAAAAAAGTTATATACCCAGGAAGTCCTTACTACAGGAAGTGCCTGTTATGTACCAAGTACGTACTCTGTTCCAGGTAAGCAGTTTGTAACTGGTACATGCCAGTGTTTCCAACAAAGTACCAAATATATACAGTAGTCCCTCGTCCTGAGCCTGGTTCTGCTAAAGGTTTCTTCCTCATGAGGGAGTTTTTCCTTTCCACTGTCACCTTCATGCTTGCTCAAGATGTGAGTTCTGCAATGGAGTTAAACTCAAAGCAGTCTGATCCTCAGACAAACAGCGATAAACCACGAAGTAGCAAGGGACTACTGTACCTCATAAATACCCTCTACCTAGCAAGTACATAGCAGATATCAATTGGAGCTAAATTCTTATCAGGTAAATACCTAGTACTTACGGGTTTTTACCTGGTACATCAAGTAACAGCTAGTACCCAGCTACAACAGACTAGGTACATACTGGTTTATATATCACTACCAAAATAAATGCTTCTTGCTGTTTTGATTAATTTAAAACTCAACATTCACTCTGGGTTCATAAAATGTAAAGGGTTTCCCCCATTTCAACAGCAGAGGTGTGTGTGTGTGTGTTTCTCAAAGCTTTGAGGCTTCACTTGGCCTTTTCATTACCTTTCACATTATTTCCATTTTAACCTTTTGAGTCGGTCCGTCATGGATGCAACACTGTGGTTAGGCTCATTATCCAGCAGAAAGGTCCACTCACTGCACCTCACTCTGCCATCCAGCACTTTTTGATGTCATTCAGAAATAATCCTGATAGTTAAATTTTACAATATGCTGACGTTTAACTCCTGTAAGAAAAGACACACAGACATAATAAGAATCAGTTTCAGTGGATGGTCCAAGTTGTTAGATGGGGGTTCTGTGGAATGATTGTGACCATGTCCTTCCATCATACTTACTGGTACATCTCCTCCCCCCACCCCCGTACTTGAAACACATCATGACAGTGGAGGATGGAGGGGCTGATACCATTTGGCTGGATTAGAAGAGTGGGCTGACATCAAAGCGTCAAAACCAGCCCCTCTGTAATCCCACTCAATACACATTCAGAGCTGTAGGAAAGACTTACTGCAGGATCAAAACGGAGGAAAAGTTTCTGCATCTGTACATCTCTACATCCTTCACGTGTGACCCGTAAGTTAAAACAGCTGTAGTCAAAGGGAAATACCTAAAACTTGGATATTTTTGTGTCTTCTAGTGCAGAATAGCAAATCACATTAGTTTTGAGTACCTAAAGAACTAAAATAAAATGCATACATTACAGTGACCACAACAAGTCGCTGATTTTATAATGTATACCAAAACACTCCAAAGATCCAACAAAATGACAAACTGAAGATTTCCAAGAAACACTCAACAGCTTGCAGAGAGTCAACTCTCACCTGGATCTTCTCTGGCTTCACCCCATTGGGTTGTTTAGACCACACCCTTTTTATGCGATGACCAATGAGCTTCGAGCCTCAGACCAGTCCTGGACAGAGACTTGCAAAGTTTCTCAGCCATATTAAAGTGTGGTTAGTGGAGTCAACATGCCCAACATCTCAGGTGAGGTCATTCTTAGATGATAAGTATGTACCATACATGCATGTGCCATTACTTTGACTATTTGATTACTAAATGTGACAGTCTTTTAATCATGTGAAACCTAGCTTGCTTTGGTAAAGTTTTTATGTAAAAGAAACAACTGGGTGCTTCAAAACATGCAGCAGATGTCAGAAGAAGACTACTAAGATAAAGAGGCAGTTTTACCACTTGGTCAAAACATTTTAAACTTGAAGTTAATTGAGATATAAAGAACGATTTGTTTAACCAGATCATTCGGACTACTACAGTTGAAGTGCGCAATTTTTACCATTTTGCATTTTTAACACTTGTTTGATCAATTTCCATCCAGACAGTAGAGTGAATGAAAGCATGCCTCGGTCCCCATCAGCATCTCACTCCTACCAGCAGGGCCCCATCAGGATGACTCTAGAAAACTCTGAACTCTGGAAGTCTTTCCACAAGACCGGAACGGAGATGATCGTAACAAAGCATGGAAGGTAGCAGATGTATTCCTTTGATTCCACAAACATCTTACCATATCTGACCATTCTTATCGAAGCACACACTTCTGTTTTGGAGCTAGCCCAATCCCAGTAAACATATTTAACCATTTGACTTTGTGCATTTGTCTTAGGAGAATGTTTCCACACTGCTCCATCAGTATATCTGGTCTCCAGCCTTCTGCAAACTATGTGGTCATGGTGGACATTGTTCCTGAAGACACCTTCAAGTACAAGGTACGATGTCAAAGCGTGCCCCTGAGGATTAAAGTGACCCACTGCAGTGGAGCAGGCAGTGGTCTGCGGACCCCTGTCCTGCCCAGTCTGGCTGAACCACTGCTGCATATCAAAGCCTTTCATTGCTTCCTGTTAGTGCACTCTCGGCTGGAAGCTCAGTCGATTAGCATTCCTTCTCATTCATAGGAGTAGCCTCCCTTCCATTTATTCAGCAGCTCTCATTATTTTCCGCGGTTCATTTGGTCACCTGAGGATGGCTTGAAAGGATGTTTGCGAAGATGAGACACTTAAACAACATAACCTACATCTAACAAGCTTAAGTCAGGTCCTTTAGAAAGATTCTTGTCCGTTTTGTTTCAAAATATAACCTACAGTTTTGTAGTTGCTGCTGCTGCACTATGTGGCTGTATCATGTATGTCATATATCATGCCATATCATGTAAGTCACATATATATGTCACTACCTTACCATCTTAATTCCATTAACCTCAATGTTACTCAATACCTGTCACACAACCTGCAGTATATGTTAGTTATGTGAAATATATATGGTGCATTTTGGGGAGGCTGTGGCTGGACAGTTGGTTAGAGCAGTCGTCCTCCAATGCAAGAGTTGGGGGTTCGATTCCACCAGCAGTTACATGACGAAGTGTCTCTGGGCAAGACACTGAACCCGTCATTGCTTCCATTGTGTGTCCCATCAGTGTATGAATGTGATCTAAAGCACTGATTAGTCTTTGTACAGATCTAGTAGTGCTGTATGAATGGGTAAATGAGGGCACAGATTGTAGTATACAGCACTTTCAAGTATCTTGATAAGATAGGAAGGCTCTATACAAGTACAGTACATTTACCATTTAAGCTTATATTACTACCTGTGAAATACTTATTCATACTAATTCATCCCATTTGCACCGGGTACATTCTACCATGTTGTTGTTTACTATATTTCTTTTGGATCTTGTAAATATTCAATTTTTTTTTTCACTTTTTGGTACTTTATTTTGTACCCTTATTGCATGCTTTAGTATGTCTTGTTTGTTTGTTTTTTTAGCGAGTCGAATTGGTTCTTCTCATCCTGAACATTTCATTGCATTGTTGATCTTGTCTTAACCTGCACATGACAAATAAATAATATAACAGTAGTGTAGCAGCTATCAAGAACCAAAAAAGTCCATGCTCAATAATCCAGGTATACAATCCAACAATTTTCAGTCAGGTCATCTGGACTAGGGTAAGGGTTAGCTATCAAGGGAGCTATCAAGAAGATTTCCTGCCTGTTAGTGGATTCTGCTCAATCACACATGAAGTCTCACACGTGTTAATGCATTCATTCCTGCCACCCCCACCAAACCCCAATGTTTATTCCTCTGTAGTGGAAGAATCAGCAGTGGGAGGTCACAGGAAAGGCTGAGCCCCAGCCCCCATGTCGAACATGCATACACCCCGACTCCCCCGCTGTTGGAAGCCATTGGATGAAGCAGTCGGTGTCTTTCCTGAAGATGAAACTCACCAACAACACACTGGACCAGAATGGCTATGTAAACCACCACTTTAAATAGAAATAAACCACGTAAAGCTACATCCGCTCTGCTTACTTCTCCTCTTTTCTTGTCAGATCATCCTTCATTCCATGCATCGCTACTACCCACGGTTTCACGTGATCCTGGCAGAGAGTCCGTACACGATCACCTGGGGTTCTTTTCAGACCTTCTCATTCTCAGAGACAGCATTCACAGCTGTTACTGCTTACCAAAACCCAAAGGTGCTAACTGGGAGAGAACAAAAATCAGTTTACAAAAACAAACGCAAGTTTCTGTTTTCTTTAAATAACACCTTTCTTCCTGTTCCTTAGATTACCCAATTGAAGATTGACCACAATTCATTTGCCAAAAGGTTTAGAAAAGAAGACACCAACTCCAAACAAGACACCAACTTCCACAGTAAAAGGTATGTTTCAGTTGTATTTCACAATAAGAGCACCCTTACGTATGACTTGAGATATAAATTAGGCTGTAAACAGTTAAAAAGGACAATATGGACTGGTTTCCTGCTCTGTCCACTCCATCATAGACATACATATTAATAGACCACACTCTTTCTCTTATTTTAGGGAATCATAACCACAAGATTTAAAGAAGCGGCCATGTTGTATTTATTTGAATTATTCAACATTATTTATTAGAAAAAATCATAGTTGAACACACAACAGCACTAGAGAAACACAAGACTGCAAAATCAAGCACCTAAAGTATTTTAGGTGTACTTTATTAAGTATTTGTACAGACTAAAGTAACCAGCAGAGCAGGTAGGTTGGTTCTGTTCCAACTTCAGCTCCCAGGTTCACGTCAGTGGTCTATCATTAAATCCAGTCTCTACTCACTGATACCCGTGTTCATCATCATTGTGTGGATGCGTGTTAATAAGCATGTACTGCATCTCTTTTTTGGTAATGGTGCAACTTTAGCTTTTTGAAATATTTAGCCTTCTCTGCCACTTTTTTTCTCATAGAAAATGAATTGAGCTCATTTTACATCCTTCAAATCTTTAGATCTGTTTACAAACTTTTACTGCTTCTTTCACATTTTGTTCTGGTTCAGCTTCTTTCAGCAAATTTTTACTTTTGTTCAGCTACTTTTTTTTTGCTGTTTTGTGCTTTTTTCAGGTTATTTCTACTAACTACAACATTTTTGTGCTTCTAACTTTGTTCTGCTAATTTCAGCTTGTTATACTCCTTTCAGCTGATTTCTGCAAGTTTCAGCTTTTTCTGCAATTTCAGCTACTATTAGCTGTTTTATGCAAATTTTAGCTTTTTTAAGCTAATTTCACCTTTTTTTGGTTAATTTCAGCTCTTTAAGCTTCTTTCTGCCTTCTCAGCAATATTTTTTGCTAATTTCAGCTGGGTTTTTTTAGGTACTTTCCTAATGCTTGTGCTAATTTCTGCTTATTTAAACCCAATTACAACAAATGTGTTCATTCTGCTTTCTTCTGGTAATTTAGATTTGTGCCTACATTTCAGCATGTTTTAGCTAATTTCAACCGTTTTTCAGCAAGTTATTCTGCAATAATCATTCACACTGCATGTTTGCAGGAAATGCCATTTCTCTAGTTTAGATTTTAAAAATCAAACTGTCAGTGTGTTACCTGCATGTATGCATGAGTATTGTAAACACAAAGTTTGTTATAAATAAGGCTATTTATTTAAAAAGGTAAGCTGAACAACTAATATATTATGTTTACCTAAATAAATACAAGTACAGCACTTGATCTTGCCAAACAGTGAAATCTATTAACAGTTTATAAATGCCTAATAATGCTTTATAAATATTTAAAAGCTTATAGCCAACATACATTTATAAACAATAATAAATGTATTATTAAAGTGATACATTTTTTTGAATGTGAAAGTAGATGTTACATGTACTATGAGAGTTATACTTGTTGTTTTTGATTCCTTTCAATAATTTCAAATCCAAATGAGCATTAACATAAAAACTGTAATAAATCTCTTTTTTTAGGTGTCAGTCACAGGAAAGTCCTCCTGCACAAAGATCCTCAAAGGAAAAGAAAACTCTTTGCAGCAGTTCTCCAGGTATTCGTCATGAAATTGAATATTTTATACACAAGTGTAGTACTTATATCACAGTATGTATTTCTCCGTCAGGCCTGCAGAGGATGCCCTCCACCTCTGAGTCAGGGACGCAGCAAGCTTCACTGAAAGGGGGTCACCTCTCAGCCTGGGGGCCGGAGCAGGACTCCTCTGAGACCCTACACCCTGCGCCCCCGGAGCTGCACGAGTACGACTACAGCTGCCAAGAGCAGATGGTGCCTGCAGCAACAGCCTACCACCCTTACAGGTTTGAACTTCCAACTTATTAGAACTTAAACAGAACAAGGAAATATTATCCTGCACTTAAAGAAGTGCTCCACTTGTCTGATTTTCAGCATCTGTCTCTTTCTTGCTCCCAGGTGTGTGGGGTACACTAAAGCCCCTTTACTGTCCAGAGACAAAGATCCAGCAGAGAGCAGTCTTCAGCCCCCACCTCCACCACTTTCCACAACTGACCAAAGTCCCCAGCAGCAGGCCTACTGTGAACAGGGCCACCACAGCAGCATGGCAGACTGCAGCCAGTATCCACTTTTCGCCTACTCCTGCTGGTGATCTAGGGTCCTGGTCTGGTCCAGGATGGGAAACTCTACAAGGGCATTTCCAAGATCTTATATTTCTTTTTCTTCATTTGGCTTTTCCCTCCACAGAGAGTCATCCTCCTCCATCTCACTCTGTCCTCTACATCCTCTGTCCTCACTCCTACTACCTCCACATCCTCTCTAACTGCATCTCCTCTGTCTTTCTCCTGGCAGCTGCATTCCTAACCTCCTTCTACCAATATCCCCACTGTCCCTCCTCTGGACATGTCCAAACCATCTCAGTCTGGCCTCTTTTTATCTCCCAGTTGTTCAACCTGTGCTGTACCTCTGATGATCTCATTCCTAATCTTCTCCATCCTTGTCACTCCTAAGGAGAACCTCAACATCTTCATTTCTGCCACTTCCAGTTCTTTCTCCTGTCTTTTGTCCATGTCTCTGTCTCCAGACCATACAACATAGCTGGTCTCACCACTGTCTTCTAAATGTTTCCTTTGACCTTTGCTGACATCCTTTTGTTGCAAGTCACTCCTGAAACTTTTCTCCATCCACTCCATCCTGCCTGGACTCTCTTTTTCACCCAGTTTCCTGGACAGTGGACCCAAGTACTTGAAGTCCCGCACCTTTGTGGCCTCTGCTCCGTGTAGCCTCACTGTTCTACCTTCTCCTTCACACACATGCACTCTGTCTTACTACAGCTGACTTTCATTCCTCTTCTTTCAAGTACATACCTCCACCTCTCCAAGTTCTCTTCCACCTGCTCCCTGTTCTCACCACAGATCACAATGTCATCTGCAAACATCATAGTCCACGGGACTCTTATTATATTTACTGGTTGCTAATGTTTGGTCAGTTACATTGGTCAGACATCATAAAGTTTTCTTCATCTCTTTGCACACAGAACAAGCAGCTTTGATTGTACATCTTCGTACAGCATACCAATAAGGATGTATTCTTTGTATGTTTTTAATAAACGATGTGGAAACAAATATCAGACATATCAGTTGATCTGTTTGAGTGTTTTCAGTATTTTAACAAAACTGGGCATTTACAACTAATAGAAGACCGCATATAATAAAAATCCCAGTGTGGAACTACAATAATTGATCTGAATTGGGACAACAGTGTTCCTGTCACAGTCTGCCCAGTTTTCCCAGCAGAAGGCAGGAACGTCTGCACTGTAAATATTTCACAAGAAATGGAAAACCTGCGCCGCCTCGGGGGCAGAGCTGCAAAAAGATTTTCTAGAGCAGATACACTTCACATCAGCGCACAAAATGCTCATAAAGCAGCATTAATGGTATTCACTGCTCTAATTTAAAACTTGGTAGTTTAAATCTGCAATCTTGTGCTAATTTGATGACAGGAAGAGAATTAAAAGTTTATCTTTCTGTGAGAACTGGAGTCATAATTACAGTAGATCATCCAGTTTCTTGCTCTTTTTAAAATTAATTATAGATAATAGATGAGCCGTTTGTGTTAAGCTCTTATTGCAACCCAAACTGGCTAAATATTTATTCAGGAACTTTACCAGATTTGTGTTTAGAACAGATTAAACAAAAACTGAATGTAAGAGTATAGAATGACAGCCTTCAAGCTTCAAAATCATCAGTTTTTATCATCATGGTTATACCTCGCCTCGTGCATTCACCTAAGTTCATCTTTCTCCATCTCGTGTACTGAAGCTGTACGGCTCTAAAAAAAGAGGGTCTTTCTATGAGGTTGATTTTTATATCTCAACTGTGTCAGGTCAAAAATAAGTGCTCAGTTTAGCCACAGTTTAGTGACTTATACAGCTTTTTAATGTGAATAATATGTTTTTTTTTTAAATGGAATGAAAAATCTTAAATTTTCAAGAACTCAATAGAATGGCAAAACAAGTCTCCGTCACCAGATCTTCACTGTTTATCACTTTAATACTGCGTGAAGTCAAATCACCATCTGATTGTACCAAAGATATGTTAAAGCAGATACTACAAGTGTTAGGATGTGCATTAATAAACTGTCTTTTGATATGTTGCTGGCCTGCAGGTAACAACTGTAGCAACTGCAGCATAAAGACTTTCCTGATGTCTAAACCACATGTAAAGAAATCTGAATATTCAAAATGTGTTCCACGACTGTGCAATGTACTTCTTGGTAAATATGCTCGGAAACGCTTTGCAACTGCGACTGACTACGGTGACATTATTTACATGAACGCTCCTACAAGCACCCTGCAGATGTTGAACGCTGCCTATCATGGTGTGTTAAGATTCATAACTGGCTTTATGTTTGCATCCTTTATTGTGAACATAAATATGTAGGAAGATGCCCAAGGATGCATTTACAGATAAAAAAACTAGTGAGAAAGTCTGGTAGCGTACAAAGTGCAGTAATGTGTTCGATAGCCACTGTCAGTCATAACATGGAGGGCACAACGATACACAGCATCCATTTTTTTCAAAAGCTGGGCTGAAGAGTTCATAAACAGCAGATCTCCATAATCTACCAGGGGCAGAATGGTTGAAACAATCAGGTGCCTTCTGACTTGGTGTGAGGAACACTTTTTGTTTCTAAAAAAAAAAAAAAAAAGAATCCCAATTAAAGTTTTAGTTTAGAAACCAGTTTGTCAATATGAGATTTAAAGGATAGATTCTCATCAATCAGAATATATTAATACTGAATATTTGTAGCACGTGACAACTTCGGTTTCAGCCCCTTGAACAGTTAACAAGCTGGGGAGGATAGGTGGAAGCTGCTTACCATTTGAAAATAGCATAGCCTTTGATTTTTCTGCATTCAAAACCAGCTTAAGCCCATCCAGACAGGACTGAACAGCATCAAACACAGATTACAACAGTTTAAATAATTGTGAAACTGGCTGTAACTACCACTGCACCCTATATTCACTGGTTAACTGGTCATCATTAACTTCACACACTCTCTCACTGGTACATTTTCATCTTTAAATCACTTCTTGGTCTGCTGCCTTCATACATCTCCTCCTACAGGTCTCTGTGTGAGTGCAGCTACAGCGTGCGCTCTCAGGACATTATTACCTGCAGTGTTCCCTCGGAGGACTGGACTAGGCCAAAGGTCATTCTCCTACTCTGCTCCCGTTTCCTGGAATATTTTGTAAAAAAGATCTGAAGCTCTTGACCTCCGTTAAGTGGCTTCAAACATCCAAGTTCCTGTCAAAAACCAATGCAAACATGTTCCTGTTTTTAGTTTTCTACATCTCTTCACAATCTAGCTGTTTATGTTCTGTTTTTTAATACAATTCTTCTCAATTTGTTTGCTTTTCATGAGTGTCCACTGTTGTCATCACTTTTTGTTAAAACAAGTCTCTTGTATAAGAGTCCCCGTGGCTCAATGGGATTAACCACTATAAATAAAGGTTGAAAAAAATAAACATGGCGTTTTTATTTCCCCTCCCTAAAAATAATCCTGCCATGAAGTCGTCATGTGTTAAACGTGTTCTCTGCCCTGATCCTACAGGGTGGATGCTAAAAAGCAGAGGGGCGCAGCGTACGCTAGACCAATTCGTCATTAATGATCAATACTTGTGGCTCCGATGTAAATGACTAATGAATCAAACGTGACTGAATCTGACCTTTCCCGAGGGCAGTCTGTAACGGGCGTGTTGTGGTCGATGATGGCGTTTCTGTCGTCCGTCACCAGCGCTGCCTTTCAGCCAGCTAGAATTGTAAAAAAAAACATGTTTTAACTGGAAGAATTTCATGTAAAAATACCTGAACTAGTACTTCAGTGAGCTACAAAAAACGGTATTCAGAAATGGTTCAAATATTCTAAAGTAGAAAAATAAAAATTTAATTTTACCTGCTGGAGAACGGCCTCAATCTGGAGAAACTTGTTTAATTTGGACGAAGTTCCCACATGTTTTCCATGTTGAAATGCTTTAACACCTAAACTTTACAATGTTTGTACACCCATGTATTTTATTCTTCTGTAAACTTGTGGAAAATTGGATGTGGGATAGTTTTTTGGTCCCTACAATTAAAAATGGCAGTCCACTTTGTCCTTAGCTCCATCAAATACCACCAGGTAATTCTAGAACGGTTTGAACCTTGCTTTAAAACATTATAACTGCAGGACAAGCGCAGAACATCACAACCACTGCCCTTGAAAAGTTTTCCACTCCACATCTCTGGGTCAGCGTTCTGTTTTTAGCGCTTCATTAAAATGCATTAATTGGTTCCTTCCTCCTGGGTTCAGGCTGAACCAAAAGTGTAAGTCTGAAAAAAAAAAAAAATTAGAGCAAGAGCGGCCGTCCTGTGCTCCAGAAACGTTAACGAGCGACACCGAGCTGCTGCAGACACGTTCGCCGCCATCTGCGCTGCAAAGCGGGCAAGTAGGACGCGCCAAAGATAGCAAGAGAAAACAGCTTAAAGAAGTAGACATTTGTTTATTTGACTGGTTCTGTACAGAAAAGGGTCAATACCAGCACATGTGTTAACCATGGGAAATGGTATAAGAAAATAAAAAAAGGCACAATTCAGTTTTTAAGTAAAAGGTGAGGCTTTCCTAGAATATGAGAAGAGAGCACAGTAATACTGTTAATGCAAAATAGAAACAAAACCTCTGAAGCAAAAGAAACACTAGTTCACCCGGAGTAAGGACCTAATGGGGGAGTATTGCTCGATTAGATTTTAATCGTTTTAACAAGTTAAACCTATTCTGAGCCGTTTGCAGACCAGCTAGGATTAAAATCTGAGAAACTTTTTACTGAACGAGATAAATGAGGATAAGCAGCATTTGACCGGGAAGCCTCTCCCTGGCCAAGAGGTCATGCACACAGGCAGCTAGCAGGCGTTTTTCCCTTTTACAAAACACTTCACTCGCATTCAAATACTTAAAATGGACCAAAATGATAAAAGGGACATGTGATGGGATTGGTAGGCACCAAAGGACACTGGGAAAAAAATGGATTAGGTTTACAGCAGAAAGGTGCAACGCTTGCTCAGCTGTTTAATCGTATGGTTGTAAGTGATTACACTGAAAAATAAGTAACTCCCGTATGCGCTACTTGATTTTGTTTGCACTAATTTTTTTTTTTTTTAAAGTTAGATGGGACCTTGCACACTCAAAAGGCTGAAAATAAATATTTTATTCTGAAGGCATTTATGGGATTTCATTGGCTTACTGACATCTTGTCCTGACGTACGGTTGAAAAGTGAAGTATTTCAGTCCAAATGCAAAGAAAGTCGTTTTTCGTTTATCTAGAACTTGGATGCTTTTAGAAGAGCGGCTCATGGTACTTGCTGACATTTGCAAACCAGATAAAAGCTCGGCACTTCAACATAAAACGGTGACATTTCTTTTAGTGCTCTGTTCTGATAGCCCCCACCCACACACACACACACAAAAATAAAATAAATCAGTCTTGGGGGGGAAAAAAAAGCAAAAACTCCATAGTCACATGGTCTCAGAATGAAGGGGAAATGTTTTAGGTCAGCTGGCACAAACAGGAAACAATAATTCATCATATGGTCATGTCACGTATTAACATGAATTAAATCATGAGGAGAAAACGAGACGTGATCTTTGACATGAAACAGCTCAGATGCTCCACATACCCAACGTGTGCACGCTGATGGTTTAAAGGTAAAACAGTGACTTGATCATTTTACTGGCTGGTCAGCTCCTCGTTGTCTTCAGTGCTCTTTTAAGTCCATAGGGATGATGGCCCCCCCACACTCCCCTGTGTTTACTGCCCTTACAGACATCCTCATGCCAATAAAACACATTTTCACAAACAAAAACTTCTGACCTGAAATATTCAGGGAGAAAACACACGGGGTGAAATGTAAAAATCCACTGTGAACACGCACAACATGCACTTTGACGTACAAAAACTCACACTCGCACAGATGTGATCTGGATTTCAAAGTAAAGTATTCAGTCTACAGCTAAAAGAGAAAAACAAACAAAAGATGGAGCCAAGTGAAACTGGGTCATGTTTTAGTTCAGCCTTGATGTCCAACAGCTGTAAACAGCCAGAAAGCCTTGCAAGGGCTGGCAATAACAGAGGTGGGGGGGCGGGGTCGCTCGTGTGGAACCCCACAAGCAGACAAGCTCAGAACAGCAACACTGGCGGGGAGAGGTGGACACAGCCAGCAAACTCAGGTAGACATCAGTACTGCCGAGGCGCCACATGGATTTATTGGTCAGTCACTCTCGTCGGGATTCAGGGGGTCTATGATTTTGACGTGGGTGAAAGGGAAGAGCCCCCTTCGTCCGTTCACCTCCCCCTCCCACTGACCGCTGATGTTCATCCGTGTCACTTTAACGAGATCACCAACCTGAGGGCAGGAGGACAAGAGAAAGGTTCAAACATGCATTTATTCTCACCGCAAATTATTTTATTATAAATATATATAAAAAAAAAGAAGTCACATTTCAATTCAACCATGAGTTTGAAAACACAATGAACTTAAATGGCAGTTCTCAAATAAAATACAACTGTGAACTGAAGTTCCACAGCAGCATCAACTATGCATGTGAACACCGCGCTTTAATAAATGACAGAACTGTCAACGTTCAGAACTCTTTATGTTACATAATGTTGCATCTTCCAAGATGGTCGTGCTGAGCCGAGTCGCAGCTTCACAGGCTCCCGGTGAACTCATCTCTTTTTGTTTCTGTTGGTTTTTTGCGCCTACACTGCGCATCCACAGTACGGGTGTGACCGCAACACACGGAGTTTTCTGTGTCGCGTGGTTCAGTGCCAACTGGACCATGTTGGATAACCTCAGTCGTCAGAACCACTCTGCCAATAGGACCATGCTGCCGCAGATTTATTTCTTTTTCACTTGTGGTGCCTTGCTTCTGTATTTTTGTTGCATGCTTTGAATAAATCCTAGTCTATGTTAGTGCGTGCATTAAGCGTGTACGTTACAGCTGAACACAACTTATGAGAATCGTGCTACTGTTGATCGGTGTATTGTTTTGAACCATTAGTGACTAGCATATAGCTTAGATCTTCTAGCATATCATTTGATGTTTGTTTAGCATATATCAGCTTATATCTTACATATTTATTTACTGGGGTTACTGGGATCCACTACATGTACTACACGTGATGTGAACGACAAGAAAGAATCTCTGACTCTGATGTTGCAGCCAGGTGTTCTTTAGTAAACGTCTTGAACATTATAAACTGAATCATTAATGGACCTGTTTACAGATACTAATGCACATCTTCAAAGTCAGTATTTTGCAACACACTGTGGTCTACATTTATTCACACCTACTTTAGTTTCTTTACACTTGTGGTCTAAACAGTGTTCATATCCAACCATGTTTTTAGCTGTGCTCTGCAGCCTGACACCGTGCAACACTGCACATTTCACTATTACAGAAAACACCAATAAAAGTGATTTATAATTGTTTGCATAGAAAGGTCAAGTAGCTATAGATGCAGGTGCACGTGTTTACACATACGCATCTGTCAAACGGTCCAAAAAGTCGGTGTCAAAGTGAAACGAGTTTCTGTGTAATAACCATTAAAAAAACGATAAAAACTTGCATTCCTTGACAGAACGCATTAGAGACGGATCGAACTGGAGGCAAACCGATTGAATCAGTTTGCCACAAAAAATAGCAATCTGCAATACCTGTAGTTAGAAGTTGAACTAATTAGGCAGCAGCAGCTGCTACAGCCGGCTCACAGCAGCCCATAATACATTTTTGATGCAAGGAAGCTCTTCTATGTACTGGATAAATATTTTAAGTGTCCAAAGCCATGTTGCTCATCACCCATTAGGCATTAGCTTCAGCAAATGTGTGTCACTTGAGTGTTACGGGGATGACTTGGACACCATCAACAAATACGAGCTCAATGTCTAAAAATGACTGATTTGTAACCATTTCTGTGTTTTCACAGGTCATTAGCCAGCTATAGTAGCCATTTTGAATCGCACTGATTTATTTACGTTATCAGTTGTAGGTGTACATTCGGTTATTACGGTACTTTATTAATTCATTAGAATCAGCCTTGTGGTTCGTAAGATATTTTGCCAACAGACAAAAACACAGACACACATTATAATGCACCTTTTATATCTGAAAGGATATGGATATATATATATTTTTTTTTTTTGTCATACGCACCACATGTGGGACATGTGGTGGAACGAAACTGTGTACACAGGGTCCCAGTTACATACATAGTAAAAAAAAAATATATATATATATATAAAAGCAATAACTCAGATATGCTTGCCGGGTGCCATCTGGATCTCGTGGATACATTTTGACTCAGGTTCTGCTTCTTAAACTCCACAGGAACCAAAATAACCCTGACATAAAGCAAAAAGGTTGATGCTAGAAAAAATAACATTAATATTTATATAAACAATAACATATTGTGAGTCAAAGGCAAACAGCAGGAGACATGATGGGACAAGAGAAGGCAGGGATTGCAGAAAGAAACCAGTTTTAGACAAACATGAAAAAAGAGGATTTTATTTTATTACTAATGGTTTATATTTCCTATATCTTCCTTTTCTCCATCAAACTATACAATGCAAGAAATTATGTTATCTCTAAAAACAACTGCAGTTTTTTTTTTTTTTCATTCAACTTATTGCAACAGCTGCAGGAACCCTACCTGCATATACTTTTCTCATGGAACTTCTAGTCCTTCAACGGACTTCCTCCACTTATACCACAGGAACCAGAGGCCAAAGAAAGTCACAGGTTCAACTCCCTACCATGCCCACATGTCGTGGCGTCTTTGAACAAGACACATAATCCCCAATAGCGATGATGACAATACAGTACATTGCATTTTCACTTTCCTGCACTGACTTCAACAAATAATCACAAAAAACAATCTGTGCAACAGAAACATAAAAAACAATGATATTTAAAAAAAAAAACACGTGGAACACATTAACACAAGCCCATGCCTACCGTTACTCCTTTCACTGCCCTGTTTGTACTTTAATTCCAGGCATTAATACTATGTGCACCTTAGATCACATAGGAAATGCATAAAACCAACATCTGACATTTAAGTTCCATCACCAATGTCTCAGAGGGAACAACTGGTGCCTTTAGGTGGAATCTCAACTCTTAAAAAAAAAAGTACCATAAGGTGATGCTGTGTGTGCGTTACTGTGTGCATCTTGTTCAGCTCCAATACTTGTCAAATTCACTTAATGTGAGCATAAATGTGCAAGTTACTTACTAGATAGCTCTATGACATTAGCATGCTAACTTTTCTACTGCCAGCAAATGTAAAAAGGAAAATTAACTGGGATAAATGTTTCATAAAGTTCTTTCAGCAACTCTGCAGATCAGAACCAGTACTCCAAAAGACAGCACCAAATATGTATAAACACAACAATACACCGTTACTTCTTTGTGTCCATTAAACTTGAAAATGGGACTACCCGGTTTAGATATAAAGTGCATTTATAGAGAATATAAAATAATTTAATAGGTTCAGGACAAAATGTGACGACGAATAAAAATAATAAAAATGTGAAAAATGCCATGTCTGTGTTAGCCATTTGGTGAAAAATGTTGCTGAAAAGGATGCATTGTCCTCCCGTTAGCAAGTAGTTCTCGTCTCTTCGAGAACAACAGGAGGGATGTTTACTAGGGTTTTGTTTAAAAAAAGTTTAAATTGTCTCGTCGGTTGTAGGTTTATACTCACCCAGTAAAAAGCTACTTTCAGTCACCTGTTTGCAGCCTCTAGTTTGCTCCTGGAGCTGTGCGTCCTTTACTATACAATGATTACGCAAATGGGAGACAAATCAACCCCTCGTTCACACGATGACAGTTTGCATGTTCTCAGAGTGGGCTTGTTTCCATCTCGTCTCTTCCTCGTTAGTTTATCAATAATAATAATGAACAATTAAGTCATAATCCTTAAAGGCAAGCTGCTGTATTTAAAGAAGCTCTTGTGAAAACCAGTATCCTGTTAATGTCTTGTTTGCTTATATGACTTGTATCACAATATCAGCCTGAGTAAAATATTGGACAATGAGAGCTTCCAAACCATTAACTCAAAGCTCACTGGCCTGGTTTATTCAGTATTCACAACATGCCCTCATTTCTATGCAGGACTCCAAGATCCAAGTGCAATTCTGATGTCACAAAAAGGCAACACAGCAAGCTTTAAAATGACTTCCATTTTTATCTCTCCCCTGGGGAAATCACCTCAGCTCTGCCTGCTCAGTAAACTGAAGCCTCACTGTATCCGTCGAGCACATTCTGAGTACGAATTGTAGCGTGCTTCGACATGTTGTTTAAGCAGAGGTAACCACGAATACCTGTAATATTGCGAAAGTCAAAAATGCTTGTGAAGCTGTGGTCAGTTTAGTATCGGTAACAGCTCAGACGACAACAAACAAAGCTCCTGTGAGAGGCAAACAAATTGAGGGTATTTGATGAAAATCACTCAGTGGGGCTTAAGTTTGTGGTCAGTCTCACCAGAGTGCCCACCCTCATGTTTCTGTTAGTTATTTTGCTAAAAGAAATAAACCAAACATGCTACATAATCACCTGCTGTTCAATGACTTACCATTCAACAGGAAGCAAAAACAAAAATAACAGAACATGCAACCACCAAGTTGGCATCATCTAGCTACAGAAAACACTTTAAAAGTGCAAAATATGTTTAGCAACAGACTGCTGTTATAAAGTAACTAAACATACCATTATGTTTGTGATTTTTTTTTGTGTGTGCTTTAAAGGTTGGTGTAACTTAAAATAAAAAAAGATTCCTCTAAAAGTATATTTGATACAAACTAAACTAAAAATAAAACAGCAACCAATGTCTCAAGTAATTATGTGTGAAAGATGAGAAAACCATAAATTACAGAAGTATGTGACTACCTGGTAGCAAAACATTATGATAGAATTTAAAACATGACCCATTACTGCAATCCAAAGATTGAAAGTAGGTCAAATCAAAATAAAGGGGGAGAGGGGAAGTGGGAGAAAAACTAAAAGTTACCTCCAGAGCGAGAGCGGTTTTGTCATAAGCACAAGGCACTCGTTTTTGAATGGCCTTTGCCATGACAGGGCCATTCTGCGTCGACGGTAGAGGATTGATAACTGCGCCAGGTGTGCCAGGAGGCAGCGGAGAGGACGTCTGGGGCTGGGCGTAGGCGTTAACGAGGGTGTGGGAGGGCTCGGGAATCCCGTAGCTGTTGGAGTTGCGAGATCCATGCGTGGGCTGGCTGGGATGGGGTGGAGGTCGTACCAGTTTTTCCACGTAGGGCACGGGGATCATCCCGACGCGTCCATCTCTATTTTTGGCGCTCCACCACTGTTCCTCTGGCTTCTCGAGGATGATAAGGACCTCACCCTTTCTGAATGGAAGGTCCTCTGCATCGCTGCCAGTGAAGTCGTATAGTGTCCGCACATACTCCTGGTTCTCATCTTGACCAATCAGGGGCTGGATGGGACTGCTAATGGTGCTCGTGTACCTTTGAAAGATCCCAATGATAGAAATGACAAACAGGTTACAGAGAATTAAACTGCAGTCAGATTGTAAACAAAGTGTATTCTTCTGTCAAGCATCACAGATACAGTTTGATATTGGCATTCAGTGCAACTAAATAATGTCAATATCTATTTATATAAACACATAAAAGCACCAAATGTTGACCTAAGTGCTTTAAAACCATCAAATAAAAAAATATATAAATTTAGAACAAATAAATACAAGAGATCATGTGTCAAAGAAACTATTAGGTCTTAAGACAGGTGCATTTCCCCTCACATCACTTGCTGCTGTGTGTCGAGTCTGTCGTGCATTTATTTAAAAACTAACAGACTTAATGACGAGTTCACATATTAAGTTGTAAACTTTGAAGCTGAGAAAATTACATTTGAACTTCCTGTTGATTTAAGTTGAAAAAGTAATTAATCAGTAGCTGTTTAATCATCTCCGTGTATGACCAACCTTTTTGTGTGAAAAAAAAAAAAAACACACACACACAAAGAGTTTCACTCTAATGTCCTCTTTAGTCCTTCACAGCTGGAGTCAGCCTTTCTTTAAAATTACATTTTTTTTTTTCTCTTGCGATTTTAAAGGTTAAATGTCAGCAACTGCTCGACTTTCCATTAGGGATTTATTTTAGTCGTTTTCATTGCTTTTGATCAAATGTTTCCATTAGAAACCAATAAACAAATGCCCTAAAATGATTAATATTGTCAAAACGTAACTTCATATAGTTCTATGAATATTTAGACAAAAACATGGCAGGTTTTTAAGAAAACACTGGGAAAAAAGGTCCTTAATTAATTTTTTTAAATGTTAGCCTCTAGTGTAAAGAGAGACACTTCTAAGATCCGAAAAGACTCCAGAAAACCAAAAAGGCGACATGACAGTCGGTTGAATTAAAGCAAAAAAGTTCCTCTCTTAAAAATAGTTCAGCTCATCCTGTGAGCCTTGCACCTCATCGGGCACACCACCATCATGTTGACGAAAGTGCATGAAAATGACAAAAACAGGAAAGAGCGTCAGAGCGCTTTTTGAAGAAGCAAAAATCAGCCTCTTAGCATGTGTTTATCTGTCAAACCTGATGTTGCAGTGCACCTCACACAGCTTCCAAAAAAAAAAAAAAACTAGGTGTGCCAAATGTAAATTGGGCAAACGGAGTGCTTTATGACCCAACCCTGAAAGTAGGTCAGTGATGATTTAAAAAAAACCAGCAGAACTTTCCTACCTGGGAGCTGGCTCTATTAGTGTAGTCGTGTCCAGGTAGTGGATTTTGTAGAACTCCAGGAGAGCCGGGAGGTGTTCAAACTCCTGGTCGCCGATCTTGAACCTCTTGCTGGGCAAAGAGTTGATGATATAGTGAGACACCTTGGAGTTTTCGGACACTGACAGCACATAGTCGCCGGGGCAGGTGGAGGAATCTCGAACGAGGAACATGCCGTGTCTCTGTCCTTGTAGCCGGTTCTGTGCCTCCTGTCGAGACACGGGTCCAAAGTACCAGGCGGACCGATCCGACGAGTCGAAGCGAGCAGTGGACATTTCCGCTCAAGAAAAACAAGTTAATAACAAAATAAAACGTTAAGCCTGGTTCCGGTCCGCCTATCACAGCAAAGTGTTCTGAAGATGCAGGGCATGCAGTCGCCCTGTTACCTTTTTTTTTTTTCCCCTTTCGAGTAATTTCTACACAAACGTTGCAGACTTAATTAAAAATAATGATAATAAGTAATCTTTTCAGGGGGCTGCAACGAACTTGATCCGACTTTGGGACATTTCGTTAGCTCAGCAGGTCTGAGAAAATATAGTTCCGGGGAAGGGCAAACCAAAATGAAGAGAATTTACAAAAAAAAAGAACCAACCGAGGGCCGAAGCAACAAATGATCAATGAAGCTTCCTCCTTTTCGTTCCGCCTTATGAGAAATCGCCAAGCTTTTCTTTAAAATATTTTTTGTCTCTCCTTCAGTCAGTGTCAGTTATAACGGAAAAAAAAAGTAGCCTCACTTTTTTAACTGATAAATATCCATGTCAGCGAAAGGTTGGCAGTAGCAGCTAACGAAATAAATACTTTAAATCCTCTTTTGCTTCTGTCTTACGATAAGGCACACGTCACAGAAAGAGGGTTTTCAGTCCCCTCTCGGGTCGCAGCAGACTTTAGAGGCAACACAGCAAGAAAAATGGCGGCCCCGCAACACGTCTTCACACGAGAAATTATTCCACGGCAGCCTTTAGCTCGCTGCGCGTGCATCTCAGGAGGATTCTGGACTCACTGCGGCGAAGCTCCCGCGTGCATTTCCGACAACTCACGAAGCCTCCCGGGTCGGCGAGCGATTTAGCGAGTAACTTTCCCTGATTTCGGCGCGTCCTCCTCTCGCCCAAGGCCCCCAGAAGTGCGAGCGTTAGACAGAAAAATGGCGACGGGAGGGCAGGTCCCGCTTTCTATCCGCACGTCGCTGACGCCAGGCGGGGCTGGGTGGGCGGAGCAAGAGCCCGGTGACGTAACCACGTAAGTGGTTACTCCACCCCCACGTTTACAGCCGGTGTCACTAATGGAAACACTAAAAACTGACTGAGGCGTGAACAATCAGCTGAGTCAGGTGTGAATGAGAAACGACATAAAAGTTTAGTTAAAACTGTTTTATTTCCTAAAAATATTAACTTGTATAAGAAAAAGTAAATAAAATAAACCCATAATGGGCCAAAAGGTGATAAAATCTAGAGCAAATAAAATCAATTAAATGTAAGAATGTTCATTAAAAACAACAATATCAAACAGAAAACGTTATATGGTGCAGTTTAACAGACAGCCTTAACTGCAGCTGTTTCCCAGATGTGCAATTTTGAAATGCGGGTATGCACTCAGTGTAAACACCTTCTTTGCGGATGCTGCCATTGTTGATCTATTTTTTAGTCAGTTCAGCTGTTTCTGTAGGTAAACAGATACAGATGGTAGTTTGTGGCTGTTCACAAATTTCTTTTAATTTTTTTTTTTTTTTTTTTTTTGTCTAAGGACGGATTAACCAAGAGGAAATTAGCTGATTTTTTTCCCCCCAATTTTGTTTTATTTTAAATTTTTATTTTATTTCTCGTCATGTCTGGGGCATCGCAATGAGTATCTTTGTCAAAAGCATCAAATTAGATATTAAGAGAGTGCATGTTTTTAACATTCTCCACATTAATTCAGTACTTTATTCATATACATGCAAATATAATATCAAAATACTACTTTATGTCATTTTAATTACTAAGTCATCCCTGAAATGTCTCAGATATGAGTAAATAGACTGAAGGTTGTTTCTTTTGAACAACAACAACAACAAAAAAAAGTCCTAATTTACTGAAAAGCAGAAGTATCAGTCCAAAGCAGCTTTTTGTAAAAAGCCTTGTCATCGATTGACGCCAGGTCAGAAGTACAGTTATTTTCTCAGTGAACTGATGCATGCCACCAGCCAAGCGTTTTACATTATTCCCTATTTTCATTTCCTGCTGTTCTTCAACTTCCCTTTCCATTTAATCTAAATTTGCTAATTTTCTGGCACAGAAGTGTGACACATTGATACAGAGTTCCTTCTTAATTACAATATGCTGGGGGGGGGGGGGGGGGATCCATCTAAAGGCAGGAGCAGTGCCTCGATAAAATAAGGAATAGATAAAATATCTCACTGAACAAAACTGGTCGAGTGTGACAAGTTATTCAGTGCAGCGGAGCCACTTCTGTTTGGTGCTGAAAAGCAAGAGGTCTGCTCGTGGTTTGAGTGGCTGAAAGCCTCATGAGGCTACAGCTGGCACAGAGCAGCTCCCATCACAGCAACACTGTCTGAATCTTAACAGCTCTGCACCCACTCCTTAGTGGTAAACTCTGCCAATTCCCACATTTCAACAAAGTGGTGATCCATCAAACTGCGAATGGGAAAAAAAAAAAGAAAAGATTATGTTGCCATGTTTTAGGAGAACCACATTTTTAGTTTCTGCCTGCGTCACATGTTTTGCCCCAGGAGTTGATCAAATTAATCTTTTTTAAGAGTTTCTATTTATTTTTAACCCAATCCCAAAGACAGAAAAAATCCCACTCCAAACAAATAATCAAAAAGGTTATTAGACTCTGGGAAAACAACAATATGTGAATTCTCACAAACCTAAATGTGACATCATGCTAAATCTTTTGACTAAAGGTGTTTTAACAAAAACACCACCATCTAGTGGAAGCATAAAATAAGATGTGTGGTTTTTAATTAAACATACGTTTTATCTAATCATTATCTCTTCGATTATTGATAGTTCTAAAGTGCTACATGAGGAAACCAAGTCTCAATTTGGCAATGATGTGTGCAGTTCGTAACTTACCTTGTCTTGTTGCATAAATATAAAGTTTTATAATATGGAAAAAAGTATACCGGTAGTTTATATATCTATATATATATATATATTTGATTAGACTACTAACAATTAAGATTTCTAAGGCTGCTAAAATACGCAATCCTGCTTTTTGCAGATGTTGTGGTCCTATTGGCTTCATCAGATCGTGATCTACAGCTTTCGCTGGAGCGGTTCGCAGCCGAGTGCGACACGGCCGGGATGAAGATCAGTTCCTCCAAATCCGAGGCCATGGTCTTGAGCCGGAAAAGGGTAGAGTGCCCTCTCCGGGTCAGGGAGGAAGTCCTGCCCCAAGTGGAGGAGTTCAAGTATCTTGGGGTCTTGTTCACGAATGATGGAAAAATGGAGCGTGAGATCGATAGGTGGATAGGTGCAGCGTCTGCAGTGAAGCGGGCGCTGTACAGGTCTGTCGTGGTGAAGAGAGAGCTGAGTCAAAAGGTGAAGCTCTCAATTTACGGATCGATCTACGTTCCCACCCTCATCTATGGTCATGAGCTTTGGGTTGTGACCGAAAGAACGAGATCTCGGATTAAAAACGCGTTCAATACAAAAAGAGAGATCTCGGATACAAGCGGCGGAAATGAGTTTTCTCCGCAGGGTGTCTGGGCTCTCCCTTAGAGAAAGGGTGAGAAGCTCGATCATCCGGGAGGGACTCAGAGTAGAGCCGCTGCTTCTCCACATCGAGAGGAGCCAGTTGAGGTGGCTCGGGCGTCTGGTTAGGATGCCTCCTGGACGCCTCCCTGGTGAGGTGTTCCTGACACGTCCCAATGGGAGGAGGCCCAGAGGAAGACCCAGGACATTCTGGAGGGACTATGTTTCTCGGCTGGCCTGGGAACGCCTTGGGATTCCCCCGGAGGAGCTGGACCAAGTGGCTGGGGAGAGGGAAGTCTGGGCCTCCCTACTTAGGCTGCTACCCCCACGACCCGACCCCGGATACGTGGAAGAAAATGGATGGATGGGTGGATGGAAGGCTGCTAAAAGCTCCAGAGCAAAGTTCTGTGCTCTCTAAGGCAGACAATCAAACCTGAAATCTGCCTAGTTCTAGATAAAATAGACTGTTTTGGGTCTTCATGGTCTAGAAAGTAGGTAGAAGATGAACACCACAAGCCACATGGTTTAAGAATCTGAGCAATGGTTACAGAATAAAAACTGGTGGCCATTACAATGGCAGACTATCTTTAAAATAAGAAGCTCGACTACACCAAGCCCCGACAATGATTTTCAGCTACTATCTAGGAACTGAATGCTCTCTGTGAACATCTGGCGGCACAAATAAAGATAGAACCAACATGGAGTGGTTGGCCCATCCAACATATGAAAGAGCCATGAACTTCCATCCAACTGACCAATCACCAATTTCTGAACATCACAGAACCTTATGTCATCATAGCAGCCGAGATGATTTAACTTGAAGCTCAAATACACAAGCAAGACCAAGAAGGTAAGTGAAGTGACACCTGTAGAGCCAAACAACAGCTACTGATCAACAAAACATTCAAGACAGAAGATAGAAATAATCATAGAGAATTTAGTTCAGAGTGAAAAACTCTGTGCTCCAAACTAAGGGTGCCAAGAACGTCATAAGTATCCATCATAAGCTAGAACATCCTCATCCAGATCAGAATCAGGAGACTCATAGCAGATATCCAGGACAGCTACATGGCTTTCACAGGCAAATGACAACCATGAAGAGATAGCAAGAATAACAGCCACAAAATACCAGCGTTAATGCAAATAGCCTGGCCAAGAGGGGAGATAGAACCCACTTCAAGACAAGAAAGCTCCTCTCAGTGCATGAAGGGTTTCACCACCACCCACAGGCTGGGGACCTATGAGACTAGTGAGAGTCAGAACCACTATCAGGATAGTTTGTCTATCAAGCTGTTTGGGGGAAGAATCCGTTTTGTGTTGTGGGTTTCCTTGACTGATGAAGCCTTCTGGATGGAAAGTGAAACGTTTCAGAAAAAAAAAAAAAAAGAAACTGTTCAGATGACCTGACTGAAAATTGTTGGATTGTATACCTGGATTATTGAGCATGGACGTTTTTGGTTTTGAACCAGTTTGACATGACTGTCAACGAGGGGGAGGGCCGGCAACAGAGGAGGGGGCGTGCCAAAGACACCATCTTAGCACCAACATAACTGGTTTGTTCCACTTTGGAGTAAGCTGTTTGGAGGAAGAATCAGTTTTGTGTTGTGTGTTTCCTTTACTGATGAAGCCTTCTGGATGGAAGGTGAAACATTTCAGCAATAAAAGAAACTGTCCAGATGACCTGACTGAAAATTGTTGCACTATCAGGATAGATCAACAAATATTCAATATGGCCAAAGCGATGAGGAGTCAAGTGAAACTCTAGGAGACCCTGTGAGTAAGACAAGGCTTAGGAAGAACCACCATGAAAGAAGATTAAAGCCAAGCATGGATTATGACACAGACAGACTGAAGAAGTGGCTGGTGCTGGGAAGTCCAAATCTAAAAAAAAAAAAGGCTGGACTGGAAAAACAACAAGAAGGAGCGAATTAAACCAGTTCAGAGGCTAAATCTACTACACCAATCTGGATGGTCAACAAAGAAAGAAAAGAGCAGTATAGGGCATCAACTTCATGAAAAAGAACACAAGAAGTTCAAAAAAGAAAATGAGAAAGGTGAAGACAACAGTGATGTAGCTGGAACATTGAGCAAAACACAGTAAAACAAACAAACAAATGAATTGTTTTGTTTAAATTAATTGTATTAGTCTAAATCTTATAATGCAATAACACGCCTTCAGTGCTGCCTGATATAAAAAGTGGGTTAGATAAAAGTCTCCTGCATCATTTTCACATTGTCCTTTAAACTTCCTATCACCACTCTTAACACCACACTGCTCTAAGCAACAGTTAACTGGTTTAATGTTATAAGAAATACAATCATTCACAGAAAGTGAAGTGAACATAGGAAATTTCTGTTTTATTAAGCTGCAGATTTATTGACATTTATCATGAAAGTTGTGCACAGCAACGAACTGAATACTCTTTAGCGAATTCCTTTCATCTAAACGCAGTAGAAAAACTGTTCCAGTTAAACTTTTGTGTGCATTTTCTCGTTTAGAAGCAAAGCATGATGGACTTGTGCAGTTTGATACAAAAAATAAATAAAGTGCATATTCTCTTCTCTCTCTAAAGTCATATTTTTATGTCAAAACAGTGTTATATTACTGTATATATTACTATATATATATATATATATATATATATATATATATATATATATATATTACTATATATGTAACTGGGACCCTGTGTTCACAGTTTCGTTCCACCACATGTACCACATGTGGTGCGTATGACAAATAAAGAAACTTTGACTTTGATACCCAACAGATCATCCTAAAAGCGTCTTATGTTTTTGAATCCCTTAAATATCCTTAAACACCTTATTTGAAAGATAATGAAAATATAATTTTCTTGCACAGAACATTTTTGGAGGGGTAACACATCACTTGTCCAACCAGACCTTCATGAGTAAACCTACAGGCCCAATCCTAAATTCCCAATCGTTTCACTCATTGACAAAGTCATTTGAAATTCTATAGATTTTCAGGAACTTTGGGATGCCTCAGGGCTGTCCCTATACTGACCCTTTGAATCCCCAAAGGCTTTGATGCTGACACACTCGTGCTCTTTTCTATAGATTTCCTCATGCAATTTGCACATATTGTGTGGAGAAGGACTTGATCACATGAAATAAGTTTTAGGTGTTATATATTGCATGTACAGTAGGTAAAACAGTATTTTCTGTATTTTTTGTCAAATACCAGCATAATTCCTTCATAATTAGGTGTTGTATTTCTGGCTTTTTTTGACTTTCCGTTTGCTAAATGTATACATTTGCTTTGGTTTATTATTTATTTACCACAGGCAGATTGGTGCAAACTGAAACTCTACAGCTCAGCCAACCCAACAGCAACCCAACTAAAGCTTGATTTATCAATGCTGACACATTGTTGCAAAGACCTTTGTTTGTCTCTCAGCCTTATTAATTATATTTCAAGCCCTCCCTGAACTCAACGCTTGAGCACTCCAGCTGTGACGTCAACATGTGTGACGATACAGGGATTAGGCATCAGGGTGGAGAACAGAATTGGGCCACAGACTTATTTAAACAGCTTACGTATGGACACGTCACAGCTGGGAAAAACACAGGTGTAATAATACTGGTGACTCTGCACCGTTTAAAGCGAGATTCTCTACATGCTGCTTTTTTATCATGTTATTGTATGCATGATAGAACCAGGCCATGATGTATGGGGTGCCGTTTGTAAAATTACACAGCCAAAAATTAACAGCAACATTTTGGTTTATATAGTGTTTCATGAGAAAAAAAATAAAAATAAAAAAACAAACAAACAAAAAAAATATATATAATACATTTAAAATTTTTAAATAAATATATATATATTTATATATATTTTTTTTCCAAGTCATATTTTCACGTTGTTATTCATACATTTATAAATGTCATAGTTCCAATCTAAATATTTTATTTACAAGCTAAATATTTAGTTTACAAAGTAAATATTTAACTTGCAAGTTAAATACTTAGTTAACAAGCTAAATATTTAGCTCCACACAAAATGCTTAGTTTACAAACCAAATATTTAACTTGCAATCTAGCAAGTTAAATATTTAGGTCCAAGCTAAATATTTAGTTTGCAAATTAAATATTTATTTTGTTTTTTAAATGTTTAGCTTGGAAAATAAATATATAGGTCCAAGCTAAATATTTAGTTATTAAATTAAATATTTAGTTTAGGAATTAAAAGTTTAGCTTAGAAATTAAATGTTTAGTTTTGAAAATACATATTTAGCTTGGAAATTAAATATTTCATTTACACCTAAATGTTGAGTTCACTATCTAAATATTTAACTCACAAGTTCAATATGTAGTTTGTAAATTAAACATTTAGCTTGTAAACTAAATATTTAGCTGCATATTTAGCTCCATATTTAGCTCCATATTTAGCTCCATATTTAGCTCCATATTTAACGTGGAGCCAAATATTTAACTTGCAAGTTAAATATTTAGTTAGCAAGCTAAGTATTTAGCTCCACACTAAATATTTAGTTTACAAACTAAATTTTTATGTCTAAGCTAAATGTTTAATTTACAAACTAAATATTTAACTTGAAAGTTAAGTATTTAGTTTGCAAACTAAATAGTTAGCTTGTAAATTAAATATTTAGTTTGGAACTATGACATTTATAAATGTATTCAGAGATTCAGAGAGATTTATTTGTCATTCGCATCTCATGTGGTACATGTGGTGGAACGAGATTACGTACTATGTATTGTGTAAATATATGAATAACATGGTGAATGTGACTTTGAAAAAAAAAAAACCTATATCTTTTTTCTTATGAAAGGCATAAACCAAAATATTGCTGTTAATTTTTGACTGTGTAACTTTACAAACGGCACCCCATAATGATGAGTGTTTTTATCATAGGAGTCAAACATATCTGCTTAAAATATTTATTCATCTCCAAAACAATCCAAACCAATCATCAAAGATCATACTTATGACTCTAAGGCTGATGGTGTGTTGGTTTCAGTCAGTCACCACAAAGTCCTTTTTAATTGATCTGTCTGCATCGCGCCGGTCCTCCTCCGTCTCTCGGCGATGTTGGAGGCGAGTCTCTGTTTCAGGGCTGGGAGGACGAGCCTCGACTGAACAGTTCCTGACCTAGGAGGTGACAATGGGAGTTTCACTTGAACGAGAAAAAAAAATCTAAGCTTTTTCTAAAACATATCTGATGTCACTAACATTTCAAAACTTAAAAGAACTTCCAACTTGTACTTTAAAGTCCTTTAAGTGTGAAAACAAATATTTAACTGACTGAGTGGCTCAGATTTGCACGACTGTTTTAAGCTCAGAGCTTAAAAAAAACTTTAACCATATTTTTCGGACAAAAATTTAAAACTTAAATTTATTAATTTAAATTTTCTTTTTATGTGGTTATTGTGAATGAGTTAAATAAAGTTTGACTTATCTGACTGTTTTGTTTCGCTTAATCTGCCTTATAATCCGGTGCACTTTATAGTCCGAAAAAAAAACGGTACACGTAGCTCCTTCAAACTTTGAACCATGCTGAATTATTTTAACTTAAATTTTTTTTTTTTTTTGCTTTAACTTTGCTATTAACTGCAGAATGTGTCACAAGTTGCATATATTTAAAATACCTTCATCAAGATGGTAAAAGTTATATTTATGTCATCAACAGTAATAATAATTAAAATTAGCCCGTATAAGCAAAAAGTAGCAGCTTTTAAAAGTGAAACAACATGAAGAGGAATGGACCTAAAGTCAAACTGTTTTTTTTTTAATTTTTTAATTTTTTTATGAAATATGAAACTACAGTTATAGTTGCTTCAATTTTTATAGGCAAAGAGAACTTCTTCCAAGCTGCTAATCTTTAACGTGGAAGCACTAGTTGGTCCAGATGACTGCTGTTGGTTGAACTATAAACACATTATGGGGATCTCTTGTTACATAAAACGTCACTAGTAAAACGCCAGTCATATAATTAATTATCATCCATATTAACGACAATTAAATCATTAATTTAACTTTCATTCTTGAGGGCAGCACAAACAGGAATAAAAGTCATATTTTAATCCACCTTATCCCTCAAATCCTTGAACTGTTGGATCTAAATGCATCTAAAGTAGGGATGCACAATATTGGATTTTTGGTCGATATACCAATATGTTAAAACTTATTTGGCCAATTTTGCTTTTCTTCCTAGACCTACTAACTACATAACTTTCTTTGCTGTGGAATTAAAATATTACATTATTCTGCATGGTCTTTGTCAATTTGGCCTGCTACCAAATGAAGATGGCAAAAAGGGGACTGAAGATGATGTAACACTTCAACTTGGATTATGTTTAATGTCAAATGTATTCATGACATTTACTCCCTCTAACACAGTGACAACACTCGAACAGTGCAAATTTGAAAATTGTCACAAATCTAAACTCAACCTGTTCACAACCAACAAGTGAAAAGTGAATAAGTAGTGCATTAATAGATTTACTTGACAGTTTCTTAAATTAAAAATGAACTTAAAACGGAAGCCCAGTACTTGGTTATATTTGTACAATCTTAATGATCAACTCAAATCTCTATGAATTTTGCTTTGTGCAGGCATCCTTGTCACTGGGTTGTTCATACAAATACATACAATACAATACATACGATGTCCGATATTTAACTTTATCGCTAATATCGGCCAATACCATGGATGCCATGACGATAATATTGTGCATCTAAAGAGATGTGCAAAAGAAGAAAGACCAGTTCAGTAGAAAAAGCAAAATAGAACCATAGAGGCAGAAACAAACTGAACTCACGTGTTCTCTGGAGAAGACTGGAGACTGAGTTTGGGCAACTTCTTGTCTTCTACAGATTTGCTGAAACACACGGAAAACATCCACAGATACAACGTTTGGTGGTTATTTTAAAGTTTATTGCATGTTATTGATAAAGAGAATTTTTTTTATCACTTTACCAAGCTCCATCCGTGAGGTATGATTTAGCCAGAATGTAGCTTTCTGGGGTGATTTTCTTGCTCAGAACGATTTCTCTCAGCAGTGCCTTTACACGTATAAGCTGTACGACAAATTGTCATTAATAGTACATACAAAAAATGAATATAGTAAAAGAATTTCTTCACCAGCCTTGATGAGCACAGTGTTTTTCAGACTATAAGGCGCACCGGATTATAAGGCTCACTGACGATTTTTGAGAAAATTAAAGTGCGTCTTATAGTTCGAAAAACACAGTAGGTACTTACTTCCTGAGACTGTAAACTATTTGCATTGTAAAGCTGCTGGATGATGACCTCACGCTCGTGCAGGGTGGGAGCTCGTGGAGGACGAGAAGGAATGCTGTGAATTTGCAGAGGATGTAAGGAAGTGACGAGGCGCCGCTTCACGTTCGTGCCATCCTGCCGAGCTGATCCCAGAGCTTTACTGCCTTCTCCTAAGCTATTAATTATGAGATGACATTACACCAAGATAATGCAAAATGTTAGAGACCGGTCTGTTGTGGCTAAATGGAAACGTACCTAAAAAGCTGTTTTTGTAAGGGTTGAGTGTCCTGCAGTGGCTCCTCCAGATAGAGCGCTGCGTGGCCTTCACTGCCCTGAGTGGGTGGTCTTATGTCTCGTAGGTTGTGTTTCCTTCCTACAAGAAAAGTCACATGACAAAACTGAACAAGTTATCAGGTTTGTTGAGGTTCACCCACAGGTGCATCTGCAAAAACATTAGAATATTGTGGGAAAAGTTGAATTTATTGTTAATCATTTCAGAAAGTGAAACTCGTGTTACATAGAATCAATACACATAGAGTGAAATATTTCAAGCCTTCATTTCTAGTAATCTTGATGATTATGGCTCACGAATAATGAAAACTAATGAACATTTTCTTGATGTTCAATTGGTTTTTTTTTTTAGATGCACCAGTAGAACCTCATCTGTGCTGGCCAGTGGAAACAGCAATAAATCAGGATTACATCTTACCTTTTCTACTTGGAGGCTCCATAATCATTTTATACTTCAACTCTGCAACGTCCATAATAGGAAATCATTAGTATCATCACGAGGAGCCACAGTTCAAGCATACAACCCACGTGCTGATGAGCACCTGGCTACATTGATGGTGCAAAGACAGATGGCTGGGAACTCTCCTGGATGGTGAGATGCTGATACCAAATCTTTGTCAGAGAAACTGTCAAAACCCTATTGGTTGCCACATGAGCTCTATATTTAGAATGAATGTTCATTTTTTTGTGAACAGTTCAGCAGAAGACAGCCAGGTTCTTTGACTCTAATTCATTACAGTGGCAGTCAGAGTCCAGCGTTTGCAAATGGAAAATACAGACGGGCTGTATTTTGATGAACATGACATGATGAGGGCAATGACGACAGCTCATATCTTAATGAATACAACACTACAACCCTGCACATTTCTATAGAGAATACTAGTTATTCTGTCTTTGTATTTACAAAGCATGGGCAGAAAAAAACGATTATTAATTTGAAGCATCTTTTCTTTTTACCCAACAAAGTTAAGTCAGGTTATCTGGACGGTTTCTCTTTTTTTTTTTTGTTGAAACGTTTCGTCCTTCATCCAAAGGACTTCGTCAGTTACTCAGTCCCACAAGCAGCACACTCACATAGTGGATCAACCAGTTTCCTGGTGATAAGATGGTTTCTGGAGCCCGCCCTCTCCCCCCGTTGACTTCTCTGAGGCATCCATAGCCAAAGTGGTTCAAAACATCAAAGTTCAAGTTCAATAATCCAAGTAAAAACATCCAACGAAGTTAAATCAGGTCATCTGGACGGTTGTTGTTTTGGATGTTTTGAACCACTTTGAATGCTGCCTCTGAGGAGTCGACAGGGGAGAGGGTGGGCCCAGAAACCATCTCATCAGCAGCAAGCTTGTTGGCACACTTTGTGATGTACTGCTTGTGTGGCTCCTCTGACTGACAAAGTCCTTTGGATGAAGGATGAAACGTTTCAACAACAAAAAAAAAAATCATCCAGATGACCTGATTTAACTGTGTGGGATTTTTTTTTTTTTTACCTGGATTATTGAGCCTGAACTTTGATCTTTCTTTTTTTACCATTATATGGAGGCAACAGTGTCCATGTCTGAGTGTATATGTGTTTATTTTTCTGCACCCTAAGCAAATTATCTCCCAGGTTAGTACATTTTTCAGAAATGTGCATTTGGAGTCAGATTGACAGATCTACTTTAGCCTATAAAATAGCTATCTGTGAGTTTTACACATATTGTGCTGAAATGTGGTGTGGTAGTAGCTGACAGTCACTTGCAACACAGATTGGACCAACAGAGTTATTACCTTTGTCATTTCTAATCTAAACATCTGGCATGGAAGAAGGCGGGCGATGTGCATTCCTTCAAGGGATTCTGGGCTATTCAGATCAATTTAACACAAGGGAATAAAAATACCGCCCTTATAAGATTCAGCTGCTTTTTAGTCAGTATTTGTGAACTCATTCGAAACCACACCTTTGTTCTCCCTCCTCAGATAGTCTATCTCCGCGTGGAGCTTCTCGAGAGTTTCCTCGTGTTGTCGCTGCAGGAACTGGATATTCCTCCGCAGCGACGCGACGCGGGGGTCCTCAGACCTCTCTGCTGCCCCCACTGTCGGCGGGACAGCTGGCTTTTGTGGTTGTTGGTTCACCGGTAAACGTCGCGGAAGACCCGGTTTCACAAGATACCCCACTCTGGTCCAGTGTGGCAAACGCTGCAACGGAGGGAGATTGTTGCCCGACATCGCTCGGCTCCGCGTTAGCTTGCTGCTAGTTTAGCTCGCTGCTTTTCCACTCAGTTTGAAATGTCAGCGTGGACAAGTTAACCCACATTGTTGTCAAAATACCAAAACAACTAGCAGAATTGGCTTTAGTAAGCGGCTGGCCTATTTTAGCTAGTTTTTAGCACTTGTTTGACCTGCGCTCTACAACTTTGCTATGACAACTATAACGTTACTATGACAACGGACAGCTAAGGGACATTTCCCATGTCCCCTCCGGGCCTCCTTACTGAACTGAACAGAATGAGTCACGTGACTTTGTCACTCATATTTTATGAATCGAAAGTTTAAATATTTGGGTATCTCTTGCAAAAACATCCAAGTCTCTCATCCAGAGATTTATATATTATTTAGTATTAAATTATAACCTTATTTATAAATTGCCAACATTTTATTTACTTTAAAGTTATTGCTTGAAAAGTGTTTAAAACTAAGAACATCTACTAAACTCTAATTTTAATGTTCAAATGAAACAAAAGTGACTCAAACCACATAATGCACTTCCTTAGATGATTTAGTTAAACTTGTGGCATGTATTTTGAATTATTAAACCTTTACGAAAAATGGTTTATTACTCAGTTGTTCCCTCTTTTTGGAAAATACTGCAAAAGGATGATTTTACACGCTACACATTGTTCAACATTCTTAAAATTACATGAATACCATACTGCTAACCAGGACAGGTTGGTGCAAATGTGTGTGAAATGGAGAAGTGGTGAATAGGGTGAAAAAATTCAACTGATTCTGAAGAAATGTGCAGTACTTTCCCTTTGTGTAAAACAAAATTTCTGCATAAATGAGGTGACATTTAAGAAAACACAGCACTTTTTGTAGTCAAGTGACCTTTCCTTCCACTTTATTCATGATGCAGCTTCTAAAGAGTAAAGGTTACATCACACGCAGGGATATTGAGAGAGTGAGTCTGTTAGGGATTTGAAAACTGCTTTTGCGACAGTAGGAGAAAAGGTGGAAGATCGAGCTCAAAGCAGTTTTTGGAAAGTCCAGGTGGCGTCTCTCCGAGTCTGCATTGCAGAACACACAATAACTTAACTTGCAATAATAAACCAACAGATTTAGGCAAATGGAAAATTAAAACATTGCAGTATGTTATAAAACGCACAAAAAAAAAAACCGACCAATTCAAACAATGTTCATCAAATCAACACGAGTGTCAAACACATTTGGTTATATAATGGTTCTTATGACTCCTTCCAATGATGTCAGACAGCAATGATTGTGTGGTACTATCATAATAAAAAAAAGTGACACATGCATCAGTTCTTCTGTCACCTGCTTCTTTGGAGACAGTCTCACTGAACAAAGCAGCGAGTGTAAAGACAGAGATCCTGTGGGGGAACCATAAGTAGGAATGTACACTTTAACACACGCACACAGCGCAATTTTTCAGACAAAACTCAAAAAGGCAACAAATCAAATAAACACCTTTTGAGCAAACTTCTCTCCAGTCCGTCCTGCTGATGGTGCTACTGGAAGGGCTTCATTTTAACCCCCCTTCAGACAAAACCACACCTCAATATTTTATAAAATATTTGCTTATGTTACATCTTAAAAAAGGGAGGAAAAAAAAAAAAGATGCGGGAATGACTTTTTAGGTGAAACAATTTAGGATGCTTCAGTTTCTCACTCGGGTCAAAGTATTCACATCTTCTTACAGAGATATGCAACGAAACATGTGCTTGACGCATCCCGCCACCCATTAACACACACAACACTTCACACATGCATGTGAGCAGACAACTCTTGCAGAAGATAAAATGTCCAGTTGACCCAAAATATTAGTAATTTTTTTTTTTTTTTATCTGGGATGGCAAACATCGATACAAAAAATGTAGGTAGAATAAACATTTTAAAACTCGCAATCCAAACTGAGAAGCATTTCAAAATCCTGCCCAACATCAAATCGGAAATTAAGCACAAACACTGCAAATATATATGTATTCTTCAGTGTAAATACATTTTCTTCTCCTATTTATTCTTTCAAATAGCTTATAGCCACTCCTTCAACGCTCGTACATCAGGAATAGTTTACTTTTTGACAGTAAATACAACTAAAATGGCGCTAAAATGAGTAAGCAGACGTTTCTAAATGAGCACGGCAACAAAAACTGGATGTCTTTATCATGTTCCCCTTTCTTTACAGTACTCGGGACAGTGCAAAAACATTCAGCTCGAAGATCAGCCTAAATGTTAGTCACGTGACATTCAGTCCAACAGCTCTGCTCTCCTAATAGCTTTACATTCAGATTTGATTATACCTGCTAAACAATGACGATTTGACGGATAAAATACAAAATATGGAATCGTTTTGTAGGAATTACCAGCAGTCCGGAAGCTTGTGTGCCACACGAACACATCCCAGGTTTTTGTAGTATTTATTATTTTTTTTAATAACGTGAACTTATTAAAAAGTCGTCCTTTTATTTTCACATAAAAGCTACAGAAAAGGTTTTAAGTTGCATTGGATGTTTTGAGTGTTTGCAGGACACCTTCTTTCTGCTCAAGACCATAAAAAAAAAAAAAAAAAAGTATCGTATTTGTCGAACTATAAGGCGCACTTAAAATCATTTCATTTTCTCAAAGCCTTATAATTCGGTGCGTATTATAGTCCGAAAAATACGGTAATTAAACTTCATCCTTTCAAACCACATAGTGTCAATAACAGGTGAGAGCAATCAGTCAAGTGTCGCTTTTTCTTTCCTTAAACCAGCATGATACAGACGGTGAAATTTTAATAAAACAAAACATTTGGGGATTCTTTTTTTTTTGTTTTAAGGCAACAGTTTTGTTACAGTGCTACTACGCACTCCTGCTGCAGGAAACGATTAGAATAAAACCAAGAAAAATAAGAAAACGTGTAAAATACACAAACATATGAGGATATTTGGACACATCCAGTCCTCTATAGCTAATATCACTACATGTGCAGCAAATACCAGTTTTCTTCCAGCTTGTGTAAAAGATCAAACTTTGTGTAACTGCATGTCACATGAATATTAGTCGATCTTAAAAAGCTTTGTGTTTATGCTAGATAAGTAGCATGAGAAGGAATGTGACTACTTGGCAACAACTGCTCCTGTTTGTGTTCCGCCTACGTTAGTGGGGGGTCGGGTGGGGGTGGTCTTCTTGTCGTCTTTCAGAGCCATCAGCAAAGTCATCTTCGTGTCCAACTCTGGTGTGACTTTAGTAATCAGGAAGTTTCTACTGCAGTTCAACGCTAACGAGCTTCAGAAATATGCACAACACAAACCCTCAAGTTTCTGTGTAAACTTGAGCCTTGTGGTTTTCTTGCGAAAGACGAAAGCCTTTGTGAAACCATGAAATGTGTGTGGAGTTCTATTTAGTTAGTAGGTGTAAATGGATGACATCATGTGGTGTTGGGACTCAAACGCAGAGGCCTGACTGCAGAGCCGTGAGGCGGCGCTCGATGCACTCCTTACCTGCAGAGACAGAAAAGACAAAGAAAATAAACAATTTGATATTTTTATTTCTGCAAAAATCTGTTCTAAAATCTTTAATTTTTCTTTAAAGCACACACGAGAATTTTAGCTCTGAGACCATTAATGATGGTGAGTTTCAAAGCTAAGTATACTAACATTTGCTAACGGTAAGGATGTCGTCCTGCTCTGTGAGAAGCAGGGACAGGCCCTCCATCAGCAGCAGCGCTTTGTGATAGCGCAGGATTGATGCTTCCCCCTGGTGGAACATCTCATCCAACGCAGCAGCCTGAACCTGCGGTCAAAAACAGCAAGATCCAAGTCAATGTTGAGCTGAAGGTTCACTTCTGTCCTGTTAGCAAAAGTATCTCACAAATCATTGAAGAGGTTTTAAAGAAACTTTCTGAAAGATTAGTTCGGTTAAAAACATTTGATGTTTGGAGTCAACCTGATTCAAGACGGCTGCTAGAACAAAGCAGTCTTGGCAAGCACAAAGAAGCTAAAAGTTGGGTCATTTTTACGGCCACTCAGGTCAAATTTAGTATTTTTTAAGCTAAGACTGATCCCCAACTTATACTCTGAGCACCAGCTGACTGACTGAAGTTCTGTTAGCAAAATATCAAATCAACTACTAGATGGTTATTACTTACAACAGACTACCGTATTTTCCACCGTAAATGTCGCTCCTATAAGTCGCCTCTGTCCAAATATTTCTAATAAAGTGGAAAAATCCATAAATATTTTGCATCTATTACACGTCACCGCTGACAACCTGCAAATGTGGGCCAGTGCTGTGCCAAAAACCAATTGCTGCCAAACGGCGGCCGCTGGGGCGTGCAAAGGAGGACTTTAACAAGAATTTAACAAGATAAGCACCGAAAAACAATTATTAGTTTGCTCAAAATTATAGCAAAGGTGTGCCTCAGTCTAACTTTTGCTTAATAAATGCACTTTGACGGTCAAATCAGCTGCATTTGAAAACCCGATTCGCAGAAGCGGGCACAAGTAGAGGGACAAGTCGCTGTTCATTTCTTCGAAATTTAACAAGATAAACATCTAAAACAATTATTTGTTTGCTCAACTTTATAGTAAAGGTGTGTCTCAATCATTAATTAATAAAACGACTTTAACGATCAAATCAGCTGCATTTCAAACGTATTCGCTGTCTCGGTGCTCCGGGAGCGCGCAGACAGGGAGGAGATCAGGAAGGAGGAATGCTGCGCATTTCTTCGAAAATTAACAAGATAAGCACCTAAAATAATTATTTGTTTGTTCAAAATTATAGTAAATTGTGTCTCAGTTGAACTTTTACTTAATAAATGCACTTTAATGGTCAAATTCGCTGAATTTAGTCGGGGCGGTGCAGTGAAATGAAGCCGATTTGACGGTTGCTCCAAGCAGCGAGCAGAACGAGGTGGCAGGCTATGGCAACCCGATTGTGTCATTAATAGCTGGTGAAGATTCTCAATCATCCAGGATATGGTAAATTCAAAAACGTTCAAGACAAAAACAAAGAATAAAGTATAATGAATAAAGTCCAGTTGTTTTTGTCTTGAATTTATTTGAATTTGTAATTATTGCCAATTTTACTTATTACATGATACAACAGCATGCCATACTACTCTGGTGCCATCTAGCGGCTGAAAATGGTAGTGTTCAATACTTTAAATCAGAATGAATGAAAATGGTCATATCTCAGCCAAAATTGGTTTATAAATATGGGAAAAAAATCCATAAATATGTCGTTTTGGCCTATAAGTCGCAGGGCATGCACATTATACAAAAAAACAAACACAACATATAGGGCGAAAATACAGTATATATTTTTTTCATGGCATATCAAATGCCTAATTATTATTTACAGTACTTATATACGTACACAACCTGTGTACCATTTATTTAGTTTACCATTTGCACAGTGTGGCTGAAGAGCAGCCGCTCAGCTGTGATGGAGGTGATTTGGTCCATTAGACGGTGCTTTCTGCTGAAGAAATGCTCCAGACGGGTGCTGAGCGAGCGACAGGATGCCACACAGGACTTGTACAGCTCATTCAGCCGTCTCACAACTGGGAAATAAAAACAGAAGTTTATGCTTTTGAATAATACTCTTAATTATACACGTTTAAATGATGTTCCTGCTTGGCGCGTGAAAAAGGCTCACACCTTGCTTCACCGTAGCAGAGGGGTAGAGTTTGCCCAGTTTCACTCGCTCCATGGCTGTGTGTAAGGCAGAAGACAAGAGTTCTGCAGTTTTAAGGTACAGCACCAGCTGTTCTGCATGACTAGAGACAAAAACACACAAGATAAATTACATTTCAAATTTAATTCAGCAAAAGAAACAAAACTTAAACATCTTGCGTGTGGTACACAAAACATAAAACCATGAACACAACAACAAGCTGCAGCATGGTGGGGATCGAGGCGGGATAAATATCTTATTGAATTACAGCGTTTTTATTCATTTTCAATTTTCTCATCGTCACTGCTCCGTCACTGCTCCTCGCACAAATGCAAAATATTCTTTAGCTGAAGATTATATTTAAATAAAGAAAACTCACTGCTGCAAACAAACAAAATGTAACAGAGGCGTTCCCAGCAGGGTCCAATCCTGGTCCTCGAGGGCCACTATCTGCATGTTTTACTGGTTTCTCTGCTCCAATACACTGGATTCAATGGGTGAATTACCTCGTCATGGTCTGCAGAAGCCTGTTAATCACCCATTGATTCAAACCAGGTGTGTTGAGGCAGAGAAACATTTAAAACATGCAGGATAGTAGCCCTTGAAGACCAGGACTGGACACCCTTAAAATTCAGCTTGTATGATTTATGTTCTGCATCAAAGATACATTCAAGTAAAAAACTACCAAACTGTGTATGATTTGATACTATAATTAACATTAAAGTGTCTTAAAATCAGCAGAACATATTAGAATATTTATTTATATTTTTTTTAGAAAATCACACAACAGGAATTGTATTTAAACATCAACTAAATCCCAACTACATTAAAACTTTTTGCTGTCAAATGTATATGAATAGAGAATGTAGTTGAATTTACCTCCACTCGCGGCTCAGAGAGCTTATCTGATCTGCCACCAGGCTCTGATGCTGAAGGAAAGAAAGATGAGAGACGTCTCCCTGTCGCCCTGCCACCACAGCACCGCGGGCCGCAGCCACCTCCATCAGACAGTAGGTAAAATCCAAGGTGAAACGCAAGCTCTGCACCATTTCTGTGTGTTCCTGCTGCACTCCGACAAAAGCAGACAAGAAAGAAGAGGGAAACAAGAAGGCAAGTTTACCAAGAGCCTGCACTGATGGGGACAAAACAATAAACAGAGCCTGCTCCTCACCTCCATCAGAGTCTCCTCAGGTAGCTCAGGGGCCTCAAAGGTCACAGGACCCCCCATGTTGGCTGTGATGGGATCAGTGAAACTGTACCGAGGACTGGGTGGTGTCTCAAAGCCTTCCAGATAGGGGCCAGTCTGAGGGTAGCGACTGGTTAAGGAGCCTGCAGGACTGCCTGAATTAAAGGAGCCTGCTTGAGCCAGGAAAAGAGCAGAAATACGACAAAGAAATTCTTATTTCTACTGCAAAATAACAGTAAACCATCAAATATAGACAAATACACAGACAAAGCATTAAATGGCAACTTTGTCATCATGTGCTGCTTTGATTCTATAAAATAATTTATACATCAAGATATAATAAGAAAATATTAAGTGTTAAGTGTTGCAGCCTATATAATTTGTGTGTATAAACTGATATTCATCTGATGGAGAAATTATCATCAGAAAGGATTTGGAGACTTCTTCATCTGTATAATCACACCAACATATTTTTTTTACATTGATACCTGAGTATTTCCGCTGTCGGGAGCATTGAGGTGGGGTGCAGCCACTTGGTGGAGAGCCAACAGTGAAAACCACCTGGGCTGGGCTGCAAGAACCAGGTGCAAAGCCTCCGCCATCACTACGGGCACCTAAGAAACAGAAAAACAAGCAATTTACTACATATATATATATTTTTTTTAAAATTTTATTTAAATGTTCTTCTTATATTTTTATTTAGCTGTGGATGAAATACCTAACTGTAGCTTAAAACAGAAGTGATGGTATTTTGACGTCTCAACAAAATGTATGAAATGTAGCATTTGTTGGAGTTTAAAGTGACGTTGTGTCCTTTAAAAACATTAAATATCTAAAAGTAGCATGGAATCAACTTTTTAATATTTTTCTGAAATGTTACAGGAAAAAAACAAACCAGCCTTTACACTCGAGCTAGATTCTGTGAAAAGAAAGCAGCAAATGTTGAAAAAAATCTATTAAAAAATGCTTCATTCACAAAAGTTAATGGTCATTTCTTCCACTCATCTGCTAAATATTTCAATGTTTGTGAACTTTAACTTTATTTTTAGAACTAAAAACACAAACTTTTCTCCTTCGAACTAACAAACTATTTTTAATTTAGCCTTTGTTCTCACTTTTAATTAATATTGTTGGTTTGGGAGTGTTCTGGCTTCAAAAATTACAGGTTGAGGAGCTACGCTACGTCTCAATTTCCTGTTGGAGGAATTTAGGGAGAGCGTAAAAACCTATGAAAGTGCTGTGATTCTGTCTCTTTGGCCCAGTTGCAGTAAACTCACCAAATGCTACAGGAAAAGAGACTAATTAAAAGCTACAAGGTTCTGTTTATTTTTACTGCGGGACAAACAAACCTGTTATGTCTATGGCTTTATCAGAGGCCAGGTTCTCCATGCTGCCTCGCTCTCCGGTGTGTCCGCCAACTCCAAATGCCGCCATTAACAGCATGTCAGACAGACGACCGGCACTCTGCGACCTGCGTCAAAACAGACGAAAGAACGGGTTTTGAAATACGCAGTTTTAGTAACAGCTTTTACGTTTTTAATTCTACTGTATAACATTTACTCATGTCTAAAAATTAAATTAGAAAAACTGACTCATGCAAATGTATTGCAAAAACTTTCCTAGAAAATGTAAAACAAACTACAAAAAAATACTTTAAAGTCTTGCGCAATGCACTTTCTTGTACAAATAAAAGGGGATTGAACTAGTTTAGGCTCATTTGTCCAAACAAGTCGCACTAGATATTAAGGTCAGTAGAAAAAACGAATAATAAATACAAGAACCTAACCTTCCAAAGCTCCCGCCATCCTCATTCAGTCTATGGATGCAGTGAGCAGTGTTCATGACTTGCTGCCCAAAGTCTCTTAGCTCTCCTGGGGCAGTCCTGCTGCAAGGCGAGCCAATGACCACGTTTTTCTGTGTCAGGTAATTAACGAGGTTTGGAGAGCTTGGGGGTTTAGGAAAGTCAAATGGCGCTATGGCCTGAGGAGAGAGAGAGAAAAATCCAGTCAAAGTTTGTGCATCTTAACCTGATCGAGTCAAAAGCAAATATTTCACTCACTCTGGAGGGTGAGCCCAGGATCGTAGGAAGGGGGTTACGCTGCATCAAATCACTGAGTCTGGGGGAAGAGTGTAGGGGACGGACAGTCATCAGCCCCGCTGACGGGACATTCACAGGGTCCGAGTGCTGCTTCTTGATTTTCTGCCTGCCGCCGCCATTCGCACACTCCAACAGGCAGGGGGCACTGTGGAGCCGTGAGCCCAGACTTGACACCTGTGAGTGCGGCTGAGACGTCGGCTTTGGTTCAGCATGTTGCGGAACTGCAAAATAAAGTGGGCCGGCATGTGGTCAAATTTGTTCTATTTTTTTTAACAACCCCCCCCCCCAAAAAAAAAAAAAACTTTTTTTTTTTTTTTAAACAAAGTTAGCAGCAGGTAGTAAAATTGACAACTTTTGCTAAAATTTTCACAACTGTGTAACAATGATACATGCAGCATTAATCATTAAAAAATGCTAAATCCAATTAGATGCAATTGTCAAATATTTTGAAATTGTTTTTGGTTGGCGCTCATCTTTCCTGTGACTTTTTGTCGGGGTGGAGACACGTCTGTTGTGCATTGATTGTACCGACAGTTTTCAGTTAAGCCTGAGAGAAACTGAGCTTTTTAGCTGCGCGTTGCTAGCTTACAATACAAACTTGTGTACAAATATACCCTTATATACCCTATATAACGTATTTGAAAATTTCTAATCCTTTTCAAAAGATAAAAAAAAAAAAAAAAAAAAAAAACTTTAAAAGTTTTTTTGAAAGGTAATATCTTAAGCACCTTGAGGAGAGAGTTGGAACGTCCTGGTACCGCCCAGGGAGAGCCTGCGGGAGGTGGGGACTGTAATCTGCCAGGGGGGTGAAGGTCCAGGTCTAAAGCCCGGCAAACTCCCGCTGCTGCAACGACGCACCGGTGTTGACAACCTGAAAACGAGAAGATCATGGATCACCAGTTCAAATCAAGAAATTTAAACCACTACAGCAGCAGCGTGACTAACAAGTATAAGTACTTTAAATGTTAGATACACACCGTGGTGAGCCATCCTGTTTGGTTGACTGGAGGTTCTGCTCCAAGCGTTGGTAGTTCTGGACCTGAGTTGGCACCGGGATAGGCAATGAGTGACCATGGTTTCCATAGTTACCACAATAATTACTTCCCAGGACCTCCATGGGCCTGAAAACGGTAAAGAAAGGAGAAAAATGTTGAGACAAAAAGGCAGAAAATACAGGAGAAATTATGTTTAGTGCAATTCCATACATGGACTATTTCATTAAAACTTTAACCATTTTAAGAGCAACAATACACTCTGTTTGTGGTTAAAATATGATAAATAAAGACTCATTCTAAACCTTGGTTTCAAACCTACGTAATACAAAATGTGACATTACAGCGGTCAATGTATTTCAGGTTAATGTTTAGATTGAAGCTGCTTTGCACTTAAAACAAAAAACTTCATAAACCTTCTTTGATAATTTGATCTATTTTATCAGATGTAAACAGCTCACCATGGAGCACAGCAGCCAAACGTCAGCTCTGTACTGTTACCTGACTAAACTTGGAGACCCACTGAAGGAAGGAGAGTGCGGTGGTGTTTTGGCTAGGTTACCAGAAGAAGCCAAGAGAGAGCTAATAAAAGCAGAAAAAAAAAAAAAATCTAAATCAAATCTTAAATAAGTTGAGTGTGGATGTTCATGCTTTAACATAATGAAGTTATAAACAGCGGAAGTATTAAAAAAATACAAATAAAACACTGGGGGGGAAAAATGGTTCAACAGAAGGACCAGCATCAGCACAGCCTTTAATGTCAGCGTTTTAAACTAAACATTGTTGTACACAAATACTGCGATACCGCTCATGATCTTGCAGGACTGTCAGCTATTATCACATAACATTTTAGCTCAGTGTATGTAAAACTGACAGATATAATCAATTTTGTGAGAGCTAAAGTCATTTACTTAAAGTGGCCATCTTGAATTGGTCTGATAAGCCAATTTCTAGGAGTTTACCAGGAAGTGAAATCTATTCAGTCATGAGATAGTTTGCTTAAGGACAAACAGGGTAGACACCAGTTAAAGCTGGTGTTTTAAGCAGAAAGCTTGGAGTATGTGTTGGGGATGATGCTTAGCTACTACCACACCAAACTTCAGCTCGACTTTCTGTTTTTTACTGGCTGAGCTGTAGCCACTTTTGTGTTTACTAAGGTCATTTAGCTGTGGTAGCCATCTTGTATTGGATCGAATCCAAAAGTTATTCATCTGTAGATGTGTTGATTATTTTCTGAAAGTGGTAATAAAATCCATCCAGTAGTTCATGAGTAATTTTACTAACACGTTATTGTCGTATTTGTGTTTGCCAAGATTGCGTTGCTGTGGCGCCCGACTTCTCTCCAAAAGTTATAAATGTCAACCCAAACATTACTTTCTTTTTAGTTATTAAAGATACATTTTGCGAATGGCACAAGCAAATAAACATGCAAACACAGGTAAAATATTGTTGCTCTTCCATTGGCAGGGCTGACAACAAATGAAAAACTATAGTTTGTGGTTCTCACCCGCTGTTCATCAAGCTGTCCTGCAGCACTTTACTCTCACATGTCAGCTCACCCGCTGAAAATTCAAGAATATAAACAAATGGAACAATTACAGAAGTGTAAACAAGATACTGTATTTTCCAAAACCATATTAAAATTATCACATTGACAAGTACACATTTACTGCAATTTTTTTTAGAACAAAACACAGCTCGGTTTGATGTTTTAATAGGGATTTTATAGAAGTTTCCTCACTCATAAAATGAGCAGGCACCATGACAAAATCATCCATGTCACAAGAGGACGAATTCTTGCTGCTGCCGCCCGCTCCAGACGAGTCCTTTAGGAGAAAACCGGTGACCTCCTGGGTCGGGGAGGCCGGAACCTTGACCCGCAGATGGTGAGTCTCACCAAGAGACTGCTGTAGTGAAAGAAATAAAGGAAGTAGCATGTAAACAAAAGAAGCAGACGAGAAAGTCTGAAACAATCAGCCTCACGCACGAGGAGCAAATGTCCAAAGAACAGAAATACTGAACACAAACCGGCGGTGAGGCAAGGTGAGAGGTGGACGAGCTGCTACAGGAGCTGGCAGATGCAGAGCTGGGCAAACAGGTCATGGTCACTGTGGGGGTGGCTGTCACAAAACGAAACAGTTTAAATTAGGGATGCACAACATTGGATTTTTGGCCGACAACTGATATGCCAATATGTTAAACTTATTTGGCCGACAACTGATAGATATTTTTTTCCCCCTAGACCTACTTACATAGACTACATAGCTTTCTCTGCTGTGCAACTAAAATACTGCATGGTCTGTCAATTTGACCTGCTATCAAATGCAGATGCCAAAAAGGGGGTTGAAAATGATGCAACACTTCAACTTGGATTATGTTTAATGTCAAATTTATTAATGACATTTACTCTCCAACACGTCTGGAGATAGGTTCGAAGAGTTGTAAGACTTTGTTTTCGCTCCTCGCATCGACGCTGAGAAATCATTGGAAATAGCAGTTCTGCTACCAGTTTCCGACACTTTAAAAAACTTCCACACCGCCGACATTTTCACTTCTTCCTCTCCCGCCGTGATCAGAGCAGGTAGGTGCACGTGACGTCATAACGTTGTGCTGGCGCTGCAGGCATCCTTGTAACTGAGTTGTCAAAACAGTTCCTTATAAATATATGCATTTTATATCGCTGAGTTACTTTGATGGAATGGCTGATGTCCGATATTTAACTTTATCGCTAATATCGGCCGATACGATACATTGCCGATAATATTGTGCATCCTTAGTTTAAATAATAAAACGTTTAACCTTTTACAAATTATACTAACTTTTAAGTATGTTCAGTTACCACTAAGTTAGTGGTTTTCATTGTGGAAAATAAACAAATCGCTCAGTGCTTAAAGATATCGCACACGTAACTTCTGACTTACTCTTTTTCATGGACGAGCTGGCATCCAGGAATGGATGAGAAAAAAACTCATCTAACAAAGGCAGAGAGGGAAACAAGTTGATAAGATAAACTGAAAACAGACATTTAAAAACTAGGCAAAAAGGAAAAAAATGATTACTGTAAATGAAGTACATTCATATAACAGTTTGATCAATTGCTCGACTGACCGAACTCCATCCTGTCCTTGGGGTTGCGCTGCAGCAGACCCAGCAGCAGTTGCCTCAGATGGTTCGACGTTTCTCTAGGAATACTGAAAACAAATAGAGAAAACTTTTAGCTGCATCTGCAGGACTCTAAAGTCATACATATTCAGGTACTTCATCCATACAACTATTAAAACAAATTTAACTAAATGATCTCAGTCATCCTGCATATTTTATAACACAGTAGTTAAAAAACTTCAAGGTTAGCTTTAATTTCCTGCAGCATCTGTTCTGTTGTGACACAGCAAAAAATTATGTTTTTAAGCACAATTGATTTTTGGCGGATTCACTTTCAAAAGAAATACAATCTTACAAACAAAAACAAACACCAGTGGAAAAACAAAACAAAAACATAACTATGGCATTTCATGTCAACGTCGTATCTTAAACTTTATGTCCTTACTTGGGGCTGAGATTCTTGTTTTTCTCATAAAACAGCCGGAGGTCCTGAGGACTGCTGGCCTAAAGATAAAGGTGGAAAACAGAACCAATATTATAACTATAACAACACTGATCTGTTCCCCGCTATCTTGACGTTGCATTTTTGAGGCGTAACATTTAATTAGGAAGAAGCAACGTTTCTTATTCAAAAACTGCTGCTTTTTAACAAGTTTAGATGGGCAGTTATTTCTATGGAACATGCACACGAAGCACAATAAAATAAAATAAAAATCTCACTAAGTATCCATTTCACATGTTCAGTTCACATCCAGTGGGAACTTCCTTGATCTTCAAATGATTCGGACATAGAAGCCCAAAGCTGCAGTATTACAGATATCTGTTTTGCATTTCCTTATTTGTTTAATGTGTCCAGTTGTGTCTGTGTTGCCAGAAACAAATGTCCACTTCATGTTATTTGAACAGTAACATTTCATTATCTTATCTTAGGTGATGAGTAACATAGTAAGGAGGAAGTGGCGCAGCACTGTAACTGCCAGAGAGGGGAGACGATGTATTTATCAAGTTGCAGAACATTCAAATAGAAAAAAAAATAAACTTTTCTATCATGGACCATAATTACGGTCAATAAAAATGAGCAAAACAACTTCATTTTCTATGATCAACCCTTATTTTTGGCCATTTTTGATAATGTGTGTGTTCACCTGAAAAGGAGCTTTTCCTGTCAGACACTGAAACACTATAGTTCCTATACTCCACAAGTCAGCCTTAGCGTCATAGTTCTGGGACATAATGACTTCAGGAGCCTGTTGAGAAATATAAAATAAAATAAAAGAGTCAAACAGAACCACATGATAATTACTTTAACATTTTTACTGGCATTCAGCATTTTATAAATTGCTTTTACACAATAAAGTCATCGAGGCAGGGTATTTTTCAACCAAACACATTTTTATATGGATGACTGCATGACTTTACATTCTTAATAAAAACCTGAAGCTAATATAATCTTCCTATATATATATACAATCTTACAAAAAGTATTTACCATGTACATGGGGGAGCCACAGAGTGTAGCCGCCATCATGTTGTTCTGAAGGTACCTGGCAAAGCCAAAGTCCGCTGTAAAGAGAGGAATACATAAGATGAGAAGGTGGAAAAACTGAATCTTCTTAAGAAAAACTGAACTTTAAAAAAATCTAATGGTTTCAAAATATGAAGAGTTCTGAAGAATTAATTGTACTCTGAGGACACTTCCACCTGTCGGGTCTAAAACTAATAACATGTTAAAATGCTCCAGCAATAAAAAGTGATATCTTCACTAGGATGAACTGTTTTGGTGACGATGCAAACTCACTAGAATTTTACTGATTTTTCTTTCAACAATTCATTTCGAAAACCATAAACAAGTCAAAGGTAGTTTTAGAAACCCGAGTCAGTTTAAGTACGTTGTGTAAAGCTGCTGTGCCGTTCGTGTCTCCGAGCGTGACTGAAGAGACTTTCCTCAACTCATGGGGATTATAAGGCTGTCTCAGATTAAATTCATGCCAAGCAGTAAATCTTTAGAGAGGGGAAAAGGAATACTGGTAGAATTAAGAATAAGAAGAGTTACTGAACGTAAAGAAAACTACTCAGTTGTGACTCTTTCACAATGGTGATCTCTTTAGTTTGTGATCTTTTAGATTGCAAGAATCATCAAACCAGAAGGGACGAGTATTTCAAGTAAAAACTAGAGAAACTACATTTCCTGCAAAAATACCACGTGGAGGCTTATTGTTGAAGAACTTGCTGAAAAACAGCTGAAATTAGCTAAAAACATGCTGAAATGTACCGGTAGCTGAAATGAAAGAACAAGGCTAAGTTTGCAGAAGAAAGCAGAAAGAACATATGTAATGAATTAGGTTTAAATAAGTAGAAATAAGCCAAAAAAAATTAGGAAATTAGCTAAAAAAGCAGAAAGAAGCTTAAGTGGAGAGAGCAAATTGTTGCTGAATTAGGTTGAAAAAAATGTAAATGAGTGCGAAACGTGAAATTAGCTGAAAAAGCTAAAATTAGCTGAAAAACAACTAAATAGTAGTTGAAATAGCAGAAAAAGCAGAAACTTGCAGAAATGAGCTGAAATGAGCATAACAAGTAGAAATTAGAAGAAATAAGTTAGAAGAAGCACAACAAATGTATTTAGCACAAAGAAGCTAAAAAGAGCACAAGAAAAACTGATTAAATTAGCTGAAAGTAGCTGAAAAAAAGTTTAAATTTGAACAAGGAAGCTGAGAGAAGCTGAACAAACTGTGAAAGGAGCAGTAAAAGGTTGTAAACAGATGTAAAGATATGAAGGATGAAAAATGAGCTCAATTCATTTTCTATGAGGAAAAATGGCAGAAAAGGCTAAACATTTCAAAAAGCTAAAGTTGCACCAATACCAAATGTCCAAGCATCATTGTCCTGATAGAGCTGAACATTTATATTTGATTTGTTGAAATAGCTTGAAAATTGCGGGACGAAAATGTGAATGTTTAAACTATGAAGTGGAACCGTGTTGTCTGAATTAAATCAGAGAACATCGTTTTATAACTTTTTTTAAAAAAGAAAATGTCAAAGGATATCTCAGAAGAGACAAGCTTCTCTTCATAAAGTCAGACTATCTTGTTAACCTACCGATCTTGATGCAGGTGTTGTTGGAGTGAGATTTGCGCCCTGGTGGGTAGGAGAGCAGAATGTTTTGGGGTTTGAGGTCCCGGTGGATTATTCCTTTGGTCTGTAGGACCCTCATGGCCCCTGCGATCTGCTGCAGGAACACTCGAATAGTGTCCTCACTCAATGTGCCTTTGGCTGCAGAAAAAATAAAAGAAAAAACATCAAAACAATCATAAACTTTAATGCACTACTGGTAAATATGTGATACAGATTGATTAGTAGTAGATGAACCATTGCACTCACAGTGTAAGTAGTCAGCAAGATCACCGCCATTGCAATACTGAGATTCAAAAAAAAGAAGACGGGATGGGAGAGTTAAAAAGGAACAACATGAAACCACGAGACACAACACTAACAGGAGTGATTTGCTTAAAAGTGACGTGCTAGCAGATTTACATCCACATTTCCACTCTAAGCATTAATATGAATGAACCTGAAAACATTAAGTGCGACAAGCAGCTGCCTGTAAAGTCATCTTCTTTACCACCCAAACAGAATTATAAAAAGAAGCCATGTATGACAGTTTAAGACTCTTAAAAGCAAAAACATTAAAGATTAAACTGAAAGCTTACAGTCAGTTCTGTTACACGGTGTATCCAAACACTGCAGCATGGAAACTGTTATGTCTGAGTTGTGTTTAACCAGGTTTTGCTGCATGTATTGTATTCTCACAACACAAACAGATCAACTTAGCCAAAAAGAAGAAGAAGACAGAAACAACATGATACCTGTGTTTAATGATCCAGCAAGAGGAACTACAACCCAGTGGAGCTGGACTGACTACTCGTATGCACAATACTGCAATAAGTTGAATGCTTGGTGATAAAAAAGTACTAACATTTATGTTGTGCATTATCAACCCCCCCCCCCCCAAAAAAAAAAAAAACAAAACAAAAAAAAAACTAAGCATCTAAAGGCCAAATAAGTGAAATAGCACACATTATTCCTGAAACTCTTCCTAAAGTAAATAGCACCATCACAACAACAACAAAAAAAGCATATGAATATTATCTAGGGGTGCACCGATTGCAGTTTTCTGGTCGATTACCAATTTCTAAAAAGTCTGACCTGCCAATTCTGATTTTGGCCGATACCGATTTTGTTTTATAAGCGACACTGTCAGGTGTTATACGGTCATAATGTACCTTCAATTATCCAATATTATTTTATTGGAAAACATACCCTTGAACAAAATCCTAGAAACAATACAAACTTGTTTTAACTGGCCATGAGGTAGTGCTCTGAAATATAAATGACGGTTAGACAATTGTTAAAACTACAAAAAAAAAGGTAAAATCGGTTTCTCACGTATCGGACGATCTCCCAAAATTAAGGAAATCAGGGCCAATAAATCGTCTGGTTGATTTATCGGTGCACCCCCATTATTATCTGGCAACCATGTATTGCGTTGATGCCTGAAGGCCCAGCTAATTTTAGCTGAGACAGAGTTTAGACCAGGGCTATTCAACAAAACTGCTCAGTGGGCCACAGTTTCTGAAAGCCAACAGCTTGGGGGCCGGACAGCCAGCAATTAAAGTCATTATGTAAATAAAGCAAGTTTTACAATGATCCGTTACCTTTTAAATTAGTTTATTTTATTGCATTGAATCATAAATGCAACAAACAGAACCTAAAAACATTGAACAAAGTCACCCAGCCCGCCAGTTGAATAGCCCTAGTTTAGACAAAACAACGCAAAAAGTAAAAAATAGGGATCACAGCAAGCTTACCTCCATTACTAGGTACACCAAGCTGGCAGTTTCCTAAAGACAGAGAATAAGATGAGTGAACATGACCACATCTCAGTCATGGACGAACAAAGAAAACAACTTAATAGATAGTAAATGTAAATGCACTGTACTTATATAGCACCTTTCTATCTGATCAAGATACACAAAGCACTTTACACCACGATCTGTGCCTCATTTACCCATTCATACAGCACTCTACTAGATCTCTACAAAGACTAATCAGAGCTTTATCACATTCATACACAGATGGGACACACATCGGAGACAATGAGGAGTTCAACTTCAGTGTCTTGCCCAGGGACACTTCGGCATGTGACTGCTGGTGGAATCGAACCCCAGCTTTTGCATTGGAGGACTGCGCCAACCACTCAGCCACAGCCGCCCCTTGTGGCTGAGTGGATATACAGTCGAGAACAAAGTGATCTGATTTTAGAAATCTGTAAGACATAAAAAGAGCTAACACCCCACAGGCCAGTCACGATAACAAATTTTGCTGGGCGATTAATTTTCTCAGAAATTATTAAGATAGACAATAATATTGTTTGAAATTTGACAATAATTAGTAATTATTGTCTAATTTATGAAGACATGTTTTGTGTGTAGTATCTTTTTTTGACCACCGGATGGCAGTAAAAGACTGAACTGAAGGATGGATAGTGAGGGAGTGAACAACGTGTCTCTTTTAGAAAAATGCGAGGGAGGCCCCTTGACGTGAAATGGGCCGTCTCTCTTTGGTTTCAAAATGGCGGACACTCGGTGTGGTTTGAGCTCTTTAGCATAGCATTTTTCACACAAAGCTTTTAATTTAAAAAAAAAAAAATCAGTAAACAAGTTCTCAGCCTCTTTTTGCAGAGAAAAACAACTTTTTAGACCAAGGCACGACTTTCAACAATGAATTTTGAAGCTTCCACAAGACGCATGTTTTTTTTCCCCTGAGGTCAGCATGTTAGCTTAGCTTCACATCTTAGCTGCTTTTGACGATCCAAAAACGTGATATTGGATGGTTAAAACAGATTTTAAAGAGAAAGGGAGAGGTCAGTGACGAGCACCTTTTGTCATCCAGTGTCTTAAGTAGAAAGAGACACGAAGAAACGATAAAGCCGATTCATTGATTTATTGTTTATTGTGACAGGCCTATACCCCGCCCCCCAAACACACATACACCAACACCTATCAAAGCTTTAGAAAGTAGGTCTCACTGAAAACACCACTTTAGTAAAACATGAACCAATCTACAACACTACACAAACATTCCTCCCCCGAGTGATTTCCAAGTTAAGTGAGGTCAGCAAGAGTTCATGGAAACCTACAAATAAGAGAAATCATAAAGTTGTTTCCACCATGAACAGAAAAGACTGAAAGCTATTCGTTTACAAACCAAGACAACAGAATTGCTGCTGTTGTACATTTATGAAATTGTTTCAACAATGTTTACTGCAGCCACTGTCCTTTGGAAACACCGTCCTTGGGAGGAAAATATAATAAAAATACATTACAGACTTTAAAGAGCCTTATTATCACTATAGAATGACAGCCATCTCTCGCTTTGACCCCCATTCAGTGTCTGAAAGCAGCGGTCAGACCAGCCTGTTGTCTGTGGTTCAGCTGAGTCAGGGCTTCCTACGGTGGCTGTTTTTAGCTTTTTAATGTAGATGGACTGCAACCGGCCAGTCAGGTCCAAACAAAAGGTTGACCGTTTGAATTTACATATTTAGGGAGAATCTAGGCACTAAGGTCTGTTATGTAAATGTTTCTAAAGGTTTATCAGAAGTGATCCTTAACTAAGACTTACGGAGCTTTTATATTGTAAAAAAAAAAAAAAAAAACATTTGAGAAGCTAATCAGGGTAAAGTAATTCAAAAACGTAGAAGTGAAGAATGATTTCAACACAAAGTAATTTTGAAATGAATGGCTATTATCAAAATATATGGTGTTTAGTTTTCTCCGATGCCTCATTGATCTGATCCCGTGAACTTTCAGTTCATCTATCCATCTTCTGCTTATCAGGACAAGCTGCACAACAACCTGAGCAGAGATCCTCGGGTCACCCTCTATCACTCCCACGTCAGGCATAAGATAAACTCTCCAGTGAGATCTATTGCTGCCCTGAGGTCTCCTACCAATGGGACATGATTAAAACCCCACCAGGAAGGTGCTCACAAGATCTCCTGATCAAACCAGATCAACTGCAATGTGAAAAAGCAGTGACTCTAATGAGGTAATCCCAAATAGCTGAGCTCTAAAGGTGAGCCCACCCACCCGTCAGAGGACGCTTGATTGTACAATTCTTTAGGTCATTATACAAGGACTTGAATGTAGATCCACTGGTTACATCCTTCCGACTCCGCTCTCTTCACCACAACAGGTACCGCTTCTACGTCTCTGCATGTGCAGCCCCAATCTGCCTCTCAATCTTCAGCGCTGTTGAAATGATCAAAACCGTGAAATACTTGAGGCAGTTTCATGCTCCCAAACCAGAGGTGGCAATCCACCCGTTTCCAGTTGAGGACCGTAGCCTTAGATTTAAAGGCACTTTTATTTTCCTTGGCTGTGTCACACTCTGCTGCAAACCATTTTAGTGACTGCGGGAAGTTTTGCAAACAGGATCACATCATCTGCAAAAAGCTACAATGAAATCTGAAGCGTCCCCACACCCATCTTGGGTGTGGGGTACTTTTGCTCATCTTGTTCAAACCCTGTTTCTGTAACTTTATCTTTGCCTGGAAAAATGACCACCTAAAAAAAACTTGCACATTCGTTTCCTGTCCTTTTGGATGCAATGAAACAAAATGAAAGTAATTCCTGCTGATTCTGCTGTGTTTGGCTTGGTGTCAGATGCTTTCTGACCATACATGTATCGCTGTCTGGATGAATAACCTGCTAAGAAGCCCACAATAACCTCAGAGGCCAGCATGGACTGTCCTTGCACCCAGAGAAGGTGCTCCTTTTGCACTGACTCACCCACTGTTCCTGATAACTGGAGCAATTCTGAGTAAATGGCAAAGAAACGTCAATTTCTTATTTTATACAAGCATTTTTTTTTACTTTCTCAAGCTACTGATAATGACCTAACAACACTGCAGTTTTAGAGCTGCCACTGTATGCAACAACTCATGACTTTAGCTTATTACGAGAGGAGGCGAGAAAATGAAAAGATCAAATCAAAAACCAAAAAAAATAAATAAATAAATGAAATCCTTTAAAACAAAAATGTGAGTTCTGTAAAATAATCTTCAAAATCCAGCACCGATTTGCATTCACTACAGAGCTTTACAATATTTGCTTGTACTTCATCGTAAAATTTTAAATAAAATAAACATTACAAAGAAAAAAACACACATGAAGGAATCAAAAATAATATAAATTTGCCTAATTCTAAAATATTGTATGTGTAAAATATTGTAAAACAATGCAAATTATTCTATTTTTAATCAGATGGCCGTGTTAAAAATGGATTAAAAGCAACAAAGGAACACCTGCTGGGTTCAGATAAGACTGTGTGGGGACGTGAGGGACATGATGTCTCAGCAGCCCAGGAGGTGATGAGACAGCGAGCTTCAAATCAGTAACAGGCTACAGGCAACAGCGCTGCTGCGACTGAGGACTCATTTGTCACCAAACAATGCTAGGGTGACAGGGAGTAAATAGATCCACACAGATGTCTGCATCTGTCAGGACTGTACCAAAATAAACTGATAAGCTCATGGTTCACAAATAAATACAAGCAGAAATACCTGGACAAAAAAATAATTGACCCTACACATCCCAGGAAGCCTCGGTGACAAAGGTCATTGTAAGTGGGTGGTGTGACTGCTCACAGAAAGTAAACACGGGCAGTGATGGCTGTGCTCAAAGGAACACACACAAAAGCTTTACGAAAGAACTCAAATCTGTTTGCATGATGTGATAAAACTGTCTAAAATTACAACTGTTCAAACTGTCCAAGTGGGAACCTACCGTATTTTTTGCCATATAGGTTGCACCTTTTTGCATACATTTGCAAGTCCTGCGACTTAAAAACGGTCCTCTCTCCATATTTAGAACCCAATTTTTGGTTGAGATCTGACGATTTAATTCATTCTGACATGAAATATATTAAACAACATCATATGTAGCTGCTAGAGGGCCCTCAAGCCATATGGCAAGCCAAGTGTCTCATTAATAGGTAAAAGTGGCTATTAATGAGACACTTGGCTTGCCATATAAACCACCTTCGTCTCGCTCCGGAACTCCTGGAGCAAACATCAAATCAGCTGCAGTTCGCCGCGCCGCCCAGGTGAAATGCAGCTTATTTGACCATTAAAGTGCATTTTATTAAGGAAAAGTTCAACTGAGACACACCTTTACTATAATGTCAAGCAAACAAATAATTGTTTTTAAGAGTTAATCTTGTTAAAGTCCTCCCATGCACGTTCCCACGGCCGCCATTTGGCAGCCATCGATTTTTGGCACACCAGCCCACGTTTCTGGGTGGTCAGCGGTGATGTATAATAGATGCGACTTATTTATTTATATTTTTCCACTTTATTAGACATATTTGGATTGATGCGACTCGTACGGTGGAAAGTACGGTAAACATCAGACAATTTTTGTTTTTATTGTATAGGCACAAACCTCAGTTTACTTTTGCTAAAGTCAGCTAAAACATCAGTCAAACAGTTGGTTCATTTAACCAATATTAAGCCCTATTTATAATTGTTTTTTAAAACATAGTCCTAAAGCAATTGTGCCTACTGTAGACAAGATTAATTATTCTTCACTGTTATGATCTGTCACATTAAGCTGACGTTAGTACAACCACCTGCTAACATGCTAACTTCTTGTAGTTGGTTACAAATATTTTGTTTCGCAACAGTATTACTTTCAAAAGAGAACTCAAAATACATGAGACAGTAAGAGATGTTATAAGAATGAGGCCTAAAAACATAGTGTAAAATACATTTCTGATTTGCATACCTGAAAGTCCAGCAAAGCAACGATGTTCTCATGTTTGAGTTCCTGCAGAAATCATGGAAAAAAATATATATTTGGAGAATATATCTGTTATTTACGGTATCACGGCAATCTGTAGACTTTCACTTTAACATAATCATGTTCAGTTATAGAAAACTGTCAACACATCCAGATATCAAACTTCACCCTGAGCAATTTTAGAAACTAAAAGCTTCACAACACATGCCATCATACCACAACCCACTAGACATAAGAGCTGATATCCAAAACTTCATGAACCAAACCAGACACCTGTGAAAAGTCTGTCTTACCTTCAGTATTTTGATCTCTTTACCCAAAAGTGTCTGAGATTTGGCCAAGTTCTTCTTGTTTATACATTTTACAGCCACCTCCCAGTCATGTCTCTGAAAGGACACATTTCACAAAAATGCATGGAAAATCAATTTTCTGTGGAAGGAGCACATCGTGCAATGCAATGTTTGTGTTGTTTTGTGGATTTCCATGACAATTTAAGTTGATTAGCGCGGTGCAAATTTGTTGTCAACCTAAAAATGCAAATTATATATATATATATATTGCAGCTGTTTAACAACAAATCATCTAACCTGGCTCCATGCTTTTTTATTTTTTATGCAAAATGTCTTTATTAATGCATTTATGTTAGCAGACCATCATATTTAGTGTGCAATCATAGCTCTTATAATTTCCATGCTTTCAATCAGAGTTTAGTACATGTTCCAACATGTTTATTTAATGGCGCTTAGGCAAACAATGGCGTCCTATGGCCTAAATATTGGATTTAAATAACTTAAGGTGGGCACAACACATTGGAATAAAAATCAGGACAGCCATAGATGTGCCATCCATACTTTTAGAGGATGTTTCGCAACAATTAAAGAGATATTTCGGGATGTTCTGTTTTTCAAGGAACATCCTGTTTGTGCCATCAGGCCTCTTAAGGCCGTACGATGACAACAAACGTCAAAATGGCTGATAAAAATGCAAATTCGTGTCTAATATTGTAACAAATGCAACCAAATGAATTTTCATCTTTATATATGTGTTTAGTATAAGAAAATTAGACTGTAAACAGTGAGAAATCACCTCTCGGCGCCTTCCTTTGAATACGACAGCAAATGCGCCATGTCCGATCAGGTCCTTCCGGCTAAACTCAAATTTCCCCACCGTCTCCATTTTTAAAAAGAAGTCCGCTTTGCTCCTATGAAGACCGGGACAAATGACAAGGAGGCCTCAGGTCGCCCTTCTTGTCCTCCGCCAGGTGGGGGCAGCTGCAGGGACGTTCACCCCCTCTTTCACTCGCCATGGACTGGCTCCCCAAACTGTCCTCTTCTCTCATGTTCACACGGAGACGTAATGGAGTAATTTAACTCCTAACACAGTTGTCCGAGTATTTCCATCTCCGACAAAAGCGACCAAGACGGAGTTAGCTTAATTACCAACCAGGAGTCTGTCGTTAGCCGTGCCACCTTAAAAACGCAGCCGTTTTGTTTATATACAAGACAGGTCCCGACTGTCGTCTGGAGCGTCCACCCGGCAAAAACAGCGCAGCTTTTTTCACTTAAAATAGGTGAACAGTGTTTAATGTCCGCCAAGCATCGCGAATAGTCCACGTAAAATGTTGCAAGTGGCAGCTAACTCGCCGAAAGTCGCAGCATCGACGCTACAACAAAGCAGCAGCTCCTGCTCTCTCTAGGTACAAAAGGCGCATGCGCAGTACAGTAACAGCTGTAGGTTTGACGTCACTCATCCGGTTTTTTTTTAAATTAGCAAAACATTGGCTAGCACCACCACTAAAGGGCTTGAAAACAAAAGGGCCACGAAAACCATTTCAGTTCTAGAACAACTTTATGTAAATTTATCTATTTAGCCTGTAAATAGATTGTTTTGTATCTTTTTAGACTTTTTTTTTCCTTTTACCTCCTGTACGTTTTTTTAATCGTTCTATTTTATACTTGAATATTATCACCTATGTACCTGTTAATATACCCCTGGCAGACACATGCTTGTAATGTTGATAAAATAAAATAAAATAAAAGAACATTGGCTAGCTGTTATTAGCTGAAGGATTTAGATGATCTTTTTTTTTTCCACCTGTAGTGTCACTCAAGACTTTTGGAGCAGTTTGTGGGGTTGACTTCAGGCCCAGAGAATTTAATTGCCAGATCTGACTTTAACAATAATAAAAGTTGATGCTTATTTTCAGAATTCTAAAATACATATTTTAATTAATAACCTAATATTACTAGGAAAGTTTTTTGTTCATAAATGTAGATTTTTTTAAGGGGAATCCAAATGTATGTAATTGGGAAAATTA